TAAATAAATTTCCTAAAATATATATATATATTGAATTTTATAATGATTATATATATATATATAAATTAAAAAATATATATATATATATAGTTTCCAACCAAATTTTTACTAAAAAATATAGCTCCAACTTGATCAAAGAATCTGAAGAAAACAGTGCGCAACTTTAATTTTTCATTACGCAACTACCTCGCTTATATTGGAAGATTATTGAAGCTGCACACTCGGTATGAATGAAATATGCAATATATTTCATTAAATTAACTTCTTAATTGCCTAATTTTAACAATGGAGACGAATGATAGATTTAGTAGCAACTAGCGAGACAATAGTTTACATATGTATGCTACCGAAGCATCAATTAGCCTATATAAATCTCTTTTAAAGTTATTGCATGCTTTGGTCTTATGGCAATATCAATTAGTAAATTAGTTAATTAGTAATCTTCAATATTAAAAACTCTAGAACAATAACTTTTAAAGTTAACGGAATACGTGAAGTGTTTAAGATCTTTTAAATAATGTACAGTGTAAATACTGAAAGTTTATGATGACTGACCACATGAGCTCGACAAGTTGTGCGGAAATTAATTAAATTATTTGTAATGATACTTTGTTATCAATGAGGAACGTGTTATTAACATCCGCCAATATATCCTCCAATATATTCAGCGTTTCTGCAAGAAGTGCAGTTGCATGTATTTTGACAGCCGACAAATAGGCGTAGAAATTTCTTCTGCAACGTTCCTTCGTAGACGAGATTTTAAAATATGTGAGAATTATACTGTAATTACATATAATTATATGTATATATATATAATTATATATATTTATATATATTTATATAATATTATATAATTATATATAGCTCAAGAATATACTCTGCGGCACATGTAAATATTGTATGTATTGCGAGAAATGTTGTATTTAAGAGAAATAGTACCTGTGCAATCACACAAGTTAGAATGTAAGTTATTTTTCAAATATATCTAAACGTATCGCAATACATAATATAAAAATACCAAAAAAAAAACTCCGTCGTGTGAAATATTTTTTCGACGATCATAAATGGAAATCGTGTTTCTTCGAGCGGTTTGCTTATTCACTTGTGCTAATAATTGAAATATAATATTTGACACAATTGCCAAACACCAAATTGAGTTTTATTTGACGATAAAATTTAACAACGGCCATAAAGTGTCATAAGAATTATAAATAGTCAAGTAGAAAAAGGGCCGTTGATCTTATCAGTTGCGATAAGCGTCTTAAATTGCTCAACCGAATAAAAGAGTGATATGCGATAAGCTCTCGAAGTAATTGAACATACATTATATATCATTAAAATACTATTCCATATTTAATGAGCGACGATAAAAAATGGTTTACTTCAATCTCTTTTGATACCTTATCATATCGCCAAAAACGCTCAAGTAAAAATAGTAATATATTGGACATTTGCATTTAAATGTGAATATTCCTGTTTTAATTTTTAAATATAAATGTTTAATTTTGAAACAAAATATTTATATAGAGGATGTCCTAAAATAAAAAGAACACCTAAATATCTTGTGGGATCTAAATATGGGAATCTAAAAAAGTGAAAAAAATGACCATAAAAGAATATTTTTCTTCCACGGTATTCTTTGAAACCATTCAAAATGTGCTCTAAAAACAATTTTCATATCATTAAAGCTACGTTCGGAATCACTATACTGAGGGTAGAATGGCATTTAATTGACCAATGATGATAAGGAAATCTTTGTTCTTTTTGTCCCGAATGGCCAATGAAATGCCACTTTACTCTTAGTGTGATATTTCCAAATGTAGCCTAAAAGCAAAAAAGATATTTAGGTGTTCATCTTACGCTGGAACACTCTTTATATTCAATGTACGTATATTCTATGTTGAAAGTTTGAATATTCATATTTTAAGATCAAACAACAAAAATTTCCAGAGTCACGTACATATTGATGCATTGATAGTTTTACCTTATTATTTGAAATATTTTTTCCCTCCCCCTCTCATGAAATTTGAATTTTCAAATCTGCGTAATTAATAGATCTGTTTTTTTAGCCGAACTAGTCTGCACTTTTTAAGTGTATTCGAAAAGACGCTATTTATCGTTACCGCGTCATTCTATCGTTGTTGTACATGTAAAGAGTAATAAAGATAGAATGACGCGGTAACGTCTCTTCGAACGTATCCTTTGTCTTCTGAGCGATAACAAGTGTATAACTAAGCGACGAAGGGAAAAGGAAGGAAATCCCAATGCACACTGGAGCGTAGCAGCTAAAAAGAACAGCCCAATACATGCATCCAGCACTAACCCAGAGAACATAAGATGTCGTAAAAACGTTTTTGAGATAATAAAACGTATAAATGACGTCTTTGAAATATCTTTTAGATATACATGTTGTATGGGAAGTTTGCTCACCGATAGCAAGTTCGCTTGGGAACTTTCGCGCTGACAGCATCATTCCATCTTCCTTTAGCGTATAACGAGCGATAAAGACAGAATGACATTTTCAGCACGAAAGCGTCCTAAAGCGAGCTCAGTCTCGGCGAGCAATTGTAGCACCGAGTGCATTCAATGAGTAATCGATTATTCTCAAGAACGACATCGATATCTTCCCAAGTGACAATCGGTGCGCTCACTCCACCTCCTCCGTTCGCGGCGATTGGTCAGCGGCGGCTGCGTGGTGCGATGCGAATATAGGCGAATAGCCACGAGTACCTTCCGCCGAATGCCGGCATGTAGCGGCGGCGGCATCCACGGGCGCTCCGGTTTCGGTTGTAGTCATCCGATCGCACGCACGTTCGCGTCACGTCGCGCCGTCGATTGCGTTGCATACATATACCTGCCCGAGTGTCATCTATTTGGTTACGTTTCGCGCGCGTATCGCGCCACTCGTCGGCCGACACCCCGCGCGTGTCTGTCTCCGTCTCTCTTAACCTTCCGTCTCTTTTATCGCTTATCCCGCGCCTGATCACGCGACCACGACATTGGACCATTTCCGATCGTTGACCATGGCCCCGGCCGTCGACTATTACGATGGTTTTCACACCTTTTCCTGGCTCGCGGATTTCATAGGATTACCGATCGACCAGGTGAGATACACACGCTGGCTGATCGCGCCGCCGGGAGCTGTGAAACGCTCCCGCGTGCCGTTGTCCTCCGTGAGAAAGAGAGAGAGAGAGAGAGTGCGAGAGATTCCCGGGCGGGCGGCAACAGAGAGATATCGATCGCCGCAGGATCTCTCCCCGCGCGCACTTCTCTGTGCTTGGCCGCATCCCTCAATCGAATCAGCTTGATTCGCATCATTGATCCGCGTATCGTTGGATTCCAAGTAGGCGTCATCTACGCTCGCCTCCACTCTCGTTTCTCTTTCGATTGCGCTCGTATTTCCGTCCCGTGACACGAGAAAGAAAAACGAACGAGATCGAAAAGATTCGTGTCGGATTTTCCGGCATTTTCCAGCATTTTCCAGCATTTTCCAGAAACTGTTTTCCAAGCGCGCCTATGACAGTCGCACGATGACGCGATCGTCACGGTTGTTTATTTCATGTTCCTTTTTTTTTCTTTTATGACTCTACGCATAATCCTCGGAAACATAAAGACAGGTCGACTTGCGTAATATATTCTTTAACCCCTTAACGCACAGTTTTTTTGAAAAAAACCGGCCAAAAAAATCAATTTTTTTTATGTAAAAAAATTTTTTTCTTTGCTTTCACATTGTTATTTTCAATTCTCGATTATATTTGAGTGTGAAAAATTATAGCAGCATAAAATACAACGCCGCTCGAATGATCTCGAGTGTGCACAGTTTGGCCTGTTTAGCGCGCTCGAATTAACTCGAGCGTAAAAGTTAAGGGGTTAACTGAGTGGCGAACGCTATGTACACTTTTCTTTGATTAATAATGCAGGATTCTAAATTCAGAATCATGAATTATTTCCAGTAGTCACTATATTATGCTAGTGGGCGTTCTTGCCGTTACATTTTTTTATTACGTTTTTTCTCAAATTTTTAATTATAATCTCACATAACGTCGAGTAAAATCGAGAAAGCACTCGTACGTAGTAGGTAGGTGTCATTTTCCATCGCCAGTGCAATGTATGAAGTTCCGCCATGAATCGCGAAGTAGCCGATGACGTAAACTTCAAAATCGCGTTGTATATATATATATATATATACACGTGTGCATGTATGTAAGGCGAGGTGAATTCATCGCAATGCGTTAGACCATGACGAGATGAACCACTCGTGCGGTTTCGTCATAGAACATCTTTGAAAGCATGTCGTTAAGAGTGTCTACCTCACGGACAACCATAAATTTCGTTAATTTCCGATCCAACGTATAATTTTTTCGTTCCAGTAAGCTTTTTAGTATGCGCTCTATTCCCGACCTCGGGCAAATTGAAATTCGAAAAACTTCTCGTTTCTTCAATAGCACGTAGAGCCTTATGCAAATAATTCCCTGTATAATTAGAGAAATTTAAATATCCCCCACGATCAGTTGGTTCTGCGGTAATTTACATCTATTTTGTTTTTTATCTTTCACGATTAGCATTTCTAGGTCTATTTACATCGCCATTTTTTTAAAAATATAATAATTGGTCATGTTATCGTTGTATGAATCATTCCTTGCATCTTATTTGCAGCTGATAACAGTGATAATATTTAATCGGATGGTGACGATGTATGCAGTCTACCACAAGATATCAAAACATTTCGCGAGATTTTATTTCTCTATTCATTCGATTAACAAGATTAAAATCATTTGATGTACAAAGAAAACCATGGGATGTAAATTACTAAAAAAAATCATAAATTATACAAATTATATAAAAAATTATATAAAAAAATTATTTAGCTATGATGGAACTCTATATAAATGATATTTAAAAGTCTTCGAGGAATTGTAAAAAAGCCAATGGTCACAGAATATTTGCTAAAATAGAAAAATTCTATAAAAAATCTGTTCACACCGAGAAAAAGTTTTTTTCGGATTTAATAAAATTTCTTGAATTGAAGAATTGAACAAATTTGTCTTGATGAATAGAAATATACGAAATGTAAAAATATACGAATGTTTGATTCAACAAATAGGATTGCTTAATTTTTCAAACAATCTTATCAATCTCAAACAATCTTTCAAATATTTTAATGTCATATCTTTATCCAACATATTTCTTTTATATTTTCATCCAAATATTACATCATGATAGAAAAATATTAAAGAACTTTGTTTCAGTAGAAAAATATTTAATATATACTCGGTCAAAGAAAAAGCGATACAGTAAAAGAAAGTTTAGAAAACTTCAGGTATTTGTAACGCAGTAAATAATTATGATACATAAAGCTGGTTACAAAACAAAAGTGTAACTTGTAGTACGTATTCTGAGAAACTTTTACTGCCGATTGAATGGGATGTTTAATTTTCTAATGGCGGATGACAGAATGAGAACCTTTAAATTTATAAACAAAAAATCCGCTTTCCGGAGTTACACCGAGTGAGTTAGTTGACGACGTAGTTTAGTGTGATAAAAAACGTGCGAAAGTTGAAAATCTCCCCTTCAAAATACGTTTTTGCGGAGCAATGTACTGATCAATGTGTAATGAATTAAACCAACGAAACACTCTGGGTGGTGCATGGTAGTACATGGAGTTTACAAAACACCAGGAGTTTAGGATACAGATGTTCACTCTTCAATCGATGACGGCTATTGTTCTTCCCCAGTTCCACTCGGACGAAGTCCACGGCGCATCTTCCCGGTTTCACGTCACAAATGAAACGGTGCGCCGCAAAAAGCGCGAGCGAGAGAAAGAAAACGCGACGCGCTCCTTTAATATCTATTATTATTTCGCGACGGAGTAAAAGCGGCTCATTCATGTGATAATATAAGGGCGCCGGGAGGTTTAAGTTTACCAGCGCACACGTAATGGAATTCGAACGAGGGCGCAACAGGTAATGAAGAGATTCATTTCTCACCCTATGCCGCGTTATGCCGTTTTGTGGTTTTTACGAACCGGCACATTGCCAAAGGGGAGAGACCGTAAGATCTCTCTCTCTCTCTCACACACACACACACACAATCTCTCCTCTCCTGAGCGGGAGAGAAAGCCGTGTTACCTTTTTGCTGACGAACAGTAGTAATTGCACCGCCGTAACGAACTCTGCAACGAGCGGTCGATCTCTTTTTGCGGGCCGACCGCTCTTTGGAGAAACGACCGACACGCGTGCGGAAAATGCGCGCGCTCGCTTGTCCTCTCTATTTTTAGCAACGGGACGCTTATCGTCACGCCACTTTCGGCATCAGCGAAACGAGACGCGATCAGCTGTTCGCACTTGCGATCTCTATATTGCGGCTCCTTTTCATAACACTCCTCTCGCTCCTTCCTAGCGATCGATTCGAATATCCTCGGAGTTCTTCGCTGACTCAAAGTTTGATACACACAAGCCGGTCGCTGGAACGAGTTATCGTCGCTTGATCTTCCTGCGTAAAACAGTGTCTAGGGTAGAGTAAGCTTTAAACCGTAAGCAATTGATCAATCACAGTCGAATGTGAGGAGAATAATCGATTGTGATTGGTCAATTTCTTACGGCTTAGGACTTACTATTGTAGACACCGCTTAAAACGCAATAAAAGCAGCGATAATTCTCCACTAAGAAAGAGAAGGAATAGAGTTGAATCAGTTTTATTATGCTTTATAATAAAATCTGTAAGAACAACAAATGGTACAATATAACGTAAAATGTATATACGGTGCATGTGGAGCAACTTACGTTCAAAGGTGCCAGAAATTAGTTTTTAGCATTTTTGTGATATACAACACTACTGTGATATTAATTTATAAGTAGTTTTTTTCAATTAGACTATATTAACATAAAAATATATATTTATATTCCCAGTTCTGTACATATATCATATATAATATTAAACTGTTGTTTAACTATAAACTAATAATAATGAATTTCTCCAAACAAGAGAAATAAAATTATGCGTAGATAACGAATGTCGGCTATGTTGGTTGATTGCTCTTATTTATTCGAAGCGTGCCGTCGATGCGTATCCGAGGATACGCATCATGCCGATATTTATTCACGTGATCGGCAAACGCTCCGAAGTCACTGCCGCGTGTCCTATTTCTCGGAATTTTTTATTTAGAGACCAGCACGACTCAATCGATGTTCATTCAGCATTTCTTAAAAATTCGAAACCGCGGCTGCGAGCAGACGCGCTGGGATCGTGCGTGCAACAGTTCAGTCTCGAGCAAACACTCGAACGATTCCATTATTTTATTATTACTTTGATATTTGGAAAAAATATCGTGCCTAAAAAATGTATAGACAATCGTTGCAAGAAAAATAAAAATAAAGAGAATAGTTTAATAAAAGAGTAATTAATGAGAAAGTAAGATACGCAATGAGATGAGGATGATTATTATTTACCAATGCTTTGTAAATAAAGATAATGATTGAAAATAGTTAGTTTGAAGGCTGACAATGAGAATTTATTAATGGCCGAAGGCAATGAATTTCAACTCATAATGCCTGAAAGAGAGAGAGAGAGAGAGAAATCTGATTTCGCGGACAATGGAGGAACTTGATTTAACGTCAATATCGAAGGAACAACGGAAATGTTGTGTAGCCTAATTTAGCACGGAGAGCGCTCGGCGTCTACCGGCGCAGGGATCAACGACCCCGTCGTGTAACTCAGCTATCCCAGCGGCGTTTCAAAGTAGAATGAACCTAGTGCCAGGGGTCGCGAGTTAAAACACCCGTGCCGTTAGGATTTGCACAAAAAGAACCTGTCGCTTCCGCGAAACCGTCGCCGTTGACTTTCTTGCAGCGACTCAATTCCGAAAGAACGTCTCCCGGATGAATACCGTTGCAACGATTACGTCATTATTTTTATGCGCCGAACGTGCAATTTAGATAGGCCCCGTTAGAACAAAGACGATCGTTATGCTAGTTTCAATACTGCCCATTGTTTCTCTAATTCCTCGTCGCTTCATCTTTCTCCTTTTCTTTCTTTGCCTCTCGACGCGATGGAGTTTAAGTAACATTCGATCGATACAAAATCTCTTTGTTCAGTTCCCTTTGTCGTACATTCAACGCGTCATTGTTGAAGTAACAATGGTAGATTGATCTTCGGTTAATGTCAGCCGCGTAGACGTCTCTTCTGAATCGGAAACCATTGCCAGGACCAACCGGGAAGTTCAGTCTAGCTAACTTTCTCGGTTACAATGGTCCGGATTCAGCTACGAAACTAGACCTACTGACTTTGCGCTCGTATTCGGTCGCGGAAAACGGCGCGATCGCTAATCCTATGAATAAGTTTGTACTTCCGTCGAATGAAACGAACGAATGGACTTTCTCCGGATGACTCGTTCGGATCACTTGAATATTGCACACGCAGCAAGTCCCTCGAGTCGACCTCGCGACGAATGCGTATTATCTGTCGATGATATGGAGAATACAATTGATATTATAAATCCGGTGCGAGTGCACTTTTTAACAATATTATTGAATGATTCTCGCCAATGTTGATTACATTTCCATCAACATGTATCCGTAGAGATTAACCGAAATTGAATCAATCCTCCGTCCGATAATGATTATTTTATTTAAACGTCAGTGAACTTAAACCAATATTCCAAAAATGAACTGCATAACCATCGCATTATCGCACCACACAGCAAATCCAAGTGTGTTATTTTTTACACACATAAACGTCTAAAGATGACACATTTAATTGAAGCTCTTTCTACATGTTCCTTGCAGTTGTAGCTCACGTTATTTAAAACGTCAAATTGTGTCAAATGATAACACGTCTAATCGTGATTTAATCCCTTAATCTATAATATTGTGTGAGGTTCGTGGTAAGGAATTCAGGCTAAACATAAAAAACACGAGTCAGGTTCGTGGTATGGCCGAACGCTTCGGCCGCATTTGAGCGCATGGCCGAACAGCTACATGGATCACAACGCGTGAGCGACTTTGTTATTGATTGCGGCACGCGCCGTCACGATTTAAATCATAGTGCAACGAGTTAAAACGGAAAAAAATGTAAAAGCCTCAGCTAAAATAACACGGTTATATTCGTAGTGTAGTCGAAATTATCTCGTGCAATAAAATATAAATATAGGTTTTATTTTTTTTACACAATTTATCTGTGTTTTCTTTTTGGCTGATAACAAAAATATTGACAGAAACTTATGCGAAACGGCTTCGATATTTTACAGTTCGGTGAACAATTTTATGACTTTGAACGAGATTGTTCAAATAACGATCGACTCTACGTTTATATTTCTGAATTGTGCATTAAAATATGACATGTTCCACAGGATTGTTCGACACACGTTCCGTTAAAACACATATGTGATCGGAGATGATGTGTGTTCCTTCTTTTTTTCTTCCTACTGTCGCATACGACAGTGCACGCACATAAGAACATACGATGATAGAGATCTTCATATTAATAAGAAACGCAAACAGATTCAGAGATAGCACACATGATATCAAGCAGGATGATTCTTTCATCAGATAAATTAGCGGTACAAAATGAGCAGAACCAATTCTAACTAATATTTTTGTTTGTTGCTTATTTGTTGCTGAAAAGTTGCTAAACGACAAAATTTGTTGCTTTGTTAGGATTCTTTTTATGAAGTTCCGCTAAGAAAAAGTAAGTTAGCGGAATATATATATAGCAACGGAATTCGGCATAACACTAATATAGGAATTTATTGATAAGTAGCTCACATAATATATTTGTCCCGAATTTGTTGTTCGCGAAATAAATTTATACAACGGCAGAGAATCTCTCAGTATGCAAACGTTCTCCGCTATTGTTTAGAATGATTTCGCAAGCAATAAATTCAAAACTATTTCGAAAGCAATAAATTCAAAAAATACTCAAAAATAAAATTTAAAAAAACAAGTTGTTTTTTTTGGCAATGTTTTAGCGACAAATAAAAATATTAGAATTGATTTTGGTCATCTTGTTCCGTTAACGTACAAAACGTACGATTTTTCGTCATTAAGGACATTCGGATCAATGATGCATCTTCTGAGCGAGACGTCGAGACTTTCTCTTACATCGAAACAAAATTCGCCTTCTCTATCACGTCACCGCATTATCATATTTCTTCCATGTGTTACCAGTCACCCTCAAATCGTCATCACTTGCTCTTATCTACAATACAACAGCTGCGCTATTCCGTATGCTCCAATTATCCATATAATTAGAGAAAAATTGATAATCTAAACATGAAAATTTTCCTGAATAGAAACTCCCCAACTTCCATGCGAATCAACCTCGTGCGCACAAATGTTCTGTCGTCATCTTGACACATTGAGGAGATGAAGGGGGGGGGGGGCAAGATTCAGATGATGACCGATTGAAAGGTGAAGCTAAAACGGGAATTCCTCGTTATATAAGCCTAAAAATAAATAAAGATGATAAATAAAAGATAAACGAAGAAAAGAAGTATTACTATTATTAGATATTGCGAAATTGAAAGAAGTGCTCCAACTAAGTTTTTAAGTTAAGTCGAATGTGTTTGAGTTCGTCCGTAGAGAGTGCCGAATTTTCAGTGGCGATATTAAGGTTCTCTACACAAGTTTATTACTGGCAAAATATTTTCCTATAACTTTAACTAAATAATTAATGTTAATTTTAGACGAAATTAAGTCGTTTACTCCCACGCCGTCCCCGCACCAACATCACAGCGCAGAACACCGAGGCTGTTCGAGAACTCATCAAAAGCGATCAGCACGGTGCGGAGTGAGCAATGTTTTCAACACGCTCCCGTCCTTTCTTAAATTCGTTACACCACTGCTTCACCCGAGCCCATGAAAGTGTTCTTTCCCCGAACTGTGGGAGTAAACGGCGCCGAATTTCAGCAGCATTTACATTTTCGTTGACGAGAAACTTAATAATAACACGTTGTGCAACTGCGGAGTGTACCTCTTTCTCGCTCATCGTAATTGCTGCTGAGAATAAGAAGCACGTGGCGCGCCAACGTTATTATTGCCTTCCATATGACCCCCTTCCACTGTCCAAAACGTTGCAGACCCTTCACGCCGCTGACGGGCGCGCAATTAAAAAAGGCTCGTTTATATTTGATCCACCCTTGTATATATTATTTATTTCTTATTTTTCCTTATTAATATTTTATTTATGTCAGTTGAGCTAATATAGGTACATAATAGAAAATGGTATATAAATATATAATTTTTTTATTTAAATATGTGTATATATGTACATGTATCGCGGGTATTACAATAAATTGTAAAATTCCTATGGCTACATTTTCAAGACAAAACAATGATTTTGAAACTTTGGTACGATATCTCTATATTAGTTCTTAATACGTAATATACGTAATATACGTAATACGTAATAGTTTTTCATTAAAATCCTAAATATGATTTAGTAAGAATTAAAAATAAGACATTAACCACAAGGAATATCTATAAAAAATGTTATCTTTAGTTGCGAATGTCTCAGCTTAATACTCAGTCGTTTTCGAACTTGACAGACTCGTAGATAGTATTTCCATCAATATGCAACTAAAATTTAAAGGGATTTCCAAGAAAATGATTTGACGGACCAACTACCTTAATGAATTCATCGTCTCCTTTTCAGGTAAATTTTGTCTTGACGCAATTCACAGCGCTCATACTAGCCGGACTATTAAGAACATCTCTGAGCTCCATCGCCACTACTCCAGCTGCCAGACATGTCTACGGTCTCACTATTGGCCTTGCTCTTGGATATTTCTGCTTTGGCAGGTAAGCCTGTTTACGGAAGTAGTTTGTCGCATAGAATTTGAACCGAGTGGATTCACGTGAAAAAAATATGTATGAGTAAATATGTATAATTCATAAAGTTTCTCGATATCGTCTTTTGCATTTCTATGAAACCTTGTTCACCTTACACCGATATTCAATATTCCCATCAGTTACCGTCGCAAAGCTCATACATATATGTACATAGAGAAAAAGGTTTCTTTGAATTTAGTGCACATGTTTAACTTGTATTTGTTTAACATGTTCGCTGCCACGTCTCTCGGGTATAGTTTGTTCTACTAAGCCATCAGACGTGCTATCTGCTTTATTCACAAGCCAAAGGTCCAAATTAATGTGCTTATACTATGGATTAACTCGTGCTTGACATAGGAGGTCGGTAATCGGCATACGAGTATACTCATAATTGGCAGCGAACGTGTTAATATAAACAACATAATTTAGTATCAAAATAATATTTCGTTTAGAATAAAAAAACTTTATTTCATTATATATTAAACATTGCTCTACTAAAATACACAAAAAGAAGTTCTTTAATATTTTTCTAACGTAGTGTTATCTCTTTAAAATAATTTATTATTTGTGACAACCATTATAATATTTGGATGGAAATACTAAAGAAATATGTTGGCTTGACGAAAGACATTTATAATTTGAAAAATCAAACAATCCTGTTCGTTGAATCAAATATTTGTTTGTTTTCTCTATTCCGAAGAACAAATTTGTTTCGTTAAAGAAATATTATTAAATTCAAAGAAAACTTTTTTTTGCATATGTTTCCAGTTTTAATTAGAATATTGTGCTTCATTGAAGAAGGTTGTAATAGGGGACTGGAACGCCTGAGGATCTTTTGTTTGCTATTATAAAAGAATGTCTCACAACTGTTTATTTGCGTCGGCTCTTATCGGCCTTGGGTAAATTTCGTGATCGTTTAATCTTATATGCCTTCATATAATTGCTGATAAGACGAAGTCTTCTTTTAATCCTTTACAGTTATATCGGATAGACGTTTGTTTGTTTTGATGAGAAAACTCAGCTGTCGATATATGTTTTGCAGGCAGGCGATCCATCTCACTGGTCTTCCTGCGCTATGTTACATAGCGATGCGCACACAAAATCCCCGCAATATGCAGAGGTGAGGAAAAACGAGTATGAACGCCTCGCGTTACGAAACGAAAACATCGCTTAGACGCAATGCTTAAGTAGACATAAATCAACCGATCGCGCTTTTTGAATCTATAATATCACGCGTGCGACATCGGAAGATTTTAATTGCACGTACACGCTTCATCGGAATTTCGTCAAGATGTCGACAAGTTCGCGTGCCCAAGTCCGGATCTGCAATAGGTGTGGTAAGCCTTCAGCTTTTTGCTCTAAGCACTAAATTGTAACATAATTTCAGGCAAAAAGCGTGTTTCCAGCGCTAGATGTCATAATTTCAAAAATTTAAACATTCTTACGACGTTTAAAGTGCGGGAAACGCTTTTTACCAAAAACTACGTTGTGCTTTATTGTGTAAAACAAGCTAACAAAGCTAAAGGTTTACTGTACTTATCGTCAAGGTTAGGTCAAAATACTCGTTATCGTTACTTATTATAATTAAAAACAAGTCGTTACAATTTCCGTTACATTTTTATCGAGTTTTCAGGGTCCTTTCTTTTGTATTCGTTTCTGTTCGCTTTATATACTTATGTATATATTGCACATATGCAAAATAACGATAAAAATAACGATTATTCGTTACCCAAAGAAAATATAACTGTGTTATCGTTAATAATAATTAATAAAAAAATGCGACGTCACTACCAAATTGTTGCTGAAAAAAGTAACTGTAACGACGTTACAAGTAACGCGTTACTTCTCAACCCTGCTTATTGTAAATCCGGATTGATTTATTTGAAAAGCTGCAATGCCACTGAGATATCACTGTATATACTTTCACAGCGCTAATAAAAGCAGAAATGTGTTACGTGGCGCGCGATGTATCGTTGATAACAGCGATCAGCCGATAGGGTACAAAGTACACTTGAAGATCATTTGCATGTTCCATGATCAGACAAATTATGCGCTGCCGTAATATTTGATAGGCATGAATAGCGAATGAACAATAACTATTCAAACTTGACTCGTCCATTTCAATGTGTTTCAGGGTCGTCCTCGCAATAGCGTTGATCTACTTATCGTGCATTCACTGTCACCGGCAGATCTACGATTACGGATCGTATACGCTCGACATCACCGGTGCGTTCAACTCACAATCTCGCCAGGTTCAATTCGCGTTCGTTTAATCTGTCTTCCTTCGGAGCGTTTCGTCGATGGGAGGAAGGAAAAGATCGTCAGCTCGCTTGTCATCCTCTGATATCTTGATTCACGCCGCACAGTGATCGACGAAGTATTTAAGTGGAAGGAATAATTTATTGTTATTTTGAGTAGCAATTATAATATTTACGTCCTCATTGCATATATGACGTGTTGAATATTCATAAAAAATTGCTTTGTTACTGTGATCAAGTACAATCCCTGGCCATATTAATTATTAGACGTTCTTTGGTTTTTTAATAGAATACAGATTATGAGGAAAAGAAAAGCTATCAATTTTATGTTTACTCGATTCGAATAATTTTTGGTGTCAAACAGCGTTTTTACCTCTGCAACTTTCTGAAGTGTCAAATCACTTGTTTTACCCTATACTTTTTATAAACAATATTAATATTTTTCATACAAAAATTTATTTTTCTTAATAAGCAAGGAATTTGAAGTTTCAAGTCACAAAGAAACAAAAATAAAACTAAATTTTAATTGATACACTTTCAAAATACATCTATTCCCGTTATTATCAACAATACAACTAGCGCGGGTTCATTCACTTTCACGTTCAAGATCATTGCAACAGCCGAGTGAAATGACGTCATAAAAAATATTTTTTATAGAATAACGGTCCCTTAACATAATTCGATCGTAGATAAGCCGTATTATAAAGTTGGTCCTCGGAAGTCAATGAAATGTAAAAACTTAAGCTGCGTCTAATAATGTTACCAGGGCTGTATATATAGTCAGTCATAAAAAGGTCGTGATACTTTTTTTCAACGAGTTTCGCAACACATCTCATACATATTTAATAGGAAAATGTATCTACCGAGAATTGTTGAAAAACAAATTCTCCTATTAAACGAAACGCATTTCGAAACACGTAAGACAAGAAGTGTTACGACCTTTCTCTGACTGTCGTACGAATCGGGTTGAAGGACACGGAAATTCCTTTAACGGCGGTATATCTGCAACGGCAAGCTGCGAATTTGCACTCGTGGCTCATAAAGCGAGATACTATTTCTGAAACGTAAAACGTAAAAAATATCTTAGCGATGTTGTCATTCTTTTCTAGTCGCACGATGACGTAAGTCGCACGCTTCAGCTCAACGCATTTGTTTGTTTGGTACGAACCGCTGTACGGACGGATGCGATTTCTGATATGTCACTTAGGTGTTAATACAGACTCGTCCGCCTAAATCGCTTCTGTCGATCACTGGCGCCTGTTTACGGTCCACGTCCGAACGCTGGTTCTTGTTTTCTTATTACCTTCACGAGCGGTGTGTTTTACCGCAAATCGAGTCGCACTCAACACGATGCAGTGCTGCACGCGCGATACTCAGCAGTATGCACGATATATCGATTATTGAGCGGCTCCATTATGCACATGCCAATGCGCCTCGTTTGCAAATCTTTCGGCCGCGATAAGTTGCCGTTATTATTTCGCCGAGTTGCTCTTGTAAACCGTATGTGGGCGTGTCTTTTCAGGTCCCCTCATGGTCATAACGCAGAAAGTAACTAGTCTAGCCTTCAGCATTCACGACGGGCTTACGCGACGCGAAGAGGAGCTGACACCGATGCAGCGTCATCAGGCTGTACAGTGAGTGCACGTGCTCTTTTAAACGCAGGCCCCGCGTGTGTGCGCTGCGTTATTTATATCGAGCATAAAAAAATATGTAATGAAGAATGTAAAGCACGTCGAGAGAGTAGTAGGGCCGGCTGCTGCCAGCCGGCCTCCAACCCTCGTCGTGTGCAAAACATGTAAAGTACATAAGCATGCGGCGAGAGCCTCCCGCCTAGACGGGCCGAGGGATAATGTTCCGTCGACGTTGATATTGCAGAAAGATGCCGACCGCTTTGGAATACTTCAGCTATGTCTTTCACTTCCAAGCTCTCATGGCTGGTCCAGTGATATTTTACCGCGACTACATCGATTTTATACACGGACGTCACATGCCCGGCGCAACATCTCTGGCCGTAAGGATATTCCGTCTTAGAAACAGATAACTTATCGATATTACGTGACCTTCTCGTGATATATTTCACATTGATCTTAAAGTAAAAAGTCAACGTCGCGCCGTTATCTCGAGTCGCGAAGTCGCGCAAATAACACAAATCATTGAGTAAATAACATCTGCAATAATAGTGTACGGTATAGTTTATAACTTATATATATATGCCGATGTTGCGGTGATAATCGTGTGTCTTTCCTCTGAGAATGGAAACTTGAAAAGTGAAAGCTTTCACGTGAAAAGTTTCACATTCCTATAATTCGAAAAGTTATATGATCGCTCAAATTATCGAGTTCACGTGGGATTTTTCACGTTTCCGCCTCTGAGGGAAAGTTATACGACCATTACCTAAGAATTTATTCGATGAATTGAATCTCGCGTCGCTCTGTCAGTCGTTTGTCAGTCGGATGTTAGCACACTGGAAGTTACATTTTATTCTAATCGTCAGAAAATATAAAATTTAACGCTTTTTTCTAGACTACATTTTTCTAGAAATTCACGAATTTGTCCATCCTTGAGAAAGAAACAGGAAAAGTCAGCGGAAAAATGGAAAAATTCCGTTTTTTTTTCAACTATAATTATAACGTTTGATTTTAGGGCTTCTACGACAAAAAGAGTGAAGTGTCCGAGATCGTGTTGGAGCCATCTCCGACATTAGTCGTCGTGAAGAAGATAACGGCAAGTTTAGTATGCGCCGTTGTATTCATCACGTTCATTCCGGCCTTCCCGATACAACGGGTCAAAGGTTCGTTCGCGTCCGCTTGCGGTATCCTCCCTTGCAATACCTGCGCCCGCGAATAATGAACAATTTTTCATTCCAGAGGACGAATTTCTGGAAAACACAACTGCCGTTTACAAAGTATGGTATTTAATGGTAGCCACTATGCTGGTACGTTTTAAGTATTATTACGCTTGGATATTCGCCGATGCCATATGCAACAATTCCGGCTTCGGGTTCAACGGTTTCGACGAGCGCGGCAATGCGCGCTGGGACGCGGCGTCCAACGTCGACGTTTATCAGTTCGAGGTGCGTTGCATCGCTTTTACGACGAGTAAAGTCGTAATGTTATTTTCAATTTCGTGCTTCTCGTCCGATCGAGCATTTAACGCTCATTCCATTTCCAGACGTCGCTCAATTTTAAGACCAGCATCGAGCACTGGAACAAGCGCACAAATCTATGGCTGCGATTAGTGATGTACGAGCGCACCAGTCGCAATAAAGTATTGTATACGTATTTCCTCTCCGCTCTCTGGCACGGTTTCTACCCCGGTTATTACCTCACGTTCGCCAGCGGAGCGTTCTTCACTGTTGCGGCGCGTATGGTTAGTATACAGGCGAACAATGTTCTGTTCCACTGACTGTGAACAAGTTATCAAAGCCGCCGATCTTAATGTATATTACTTTAACATCTTATCTTTACGCGTAATAGATTCGTCGTTACATTCGGCCGTTGTTCCTGGAGTCTGAGCGGAAGAAAACCTTCTACGACGTATTAACATTCATCGCTACGAGAGTTGTAATGGCCTACGCGACGTTCAGCTTCGTACTGTTGGAGTTCGTGCCAAGCATCAATATGTACCTGTACGTATCGGTGAAATTTAATAGCTGTTAGCTAAAATATATAGGTGAGGCAATAAGTACCATCCAGTGAACACCAACTAATGGTAACATTACAATAAGAGACTGAATCGAATGAAAATATCGGTCCAGTTCTGGTTCCGGTCTACTAAAATATTTAATGAAGGTTTCGGTTCCGGTTTTTTAAACTTGTTTCCTTACTGAAATTTTTATTGACTTTATATATATAATATAAAGTGCTTCTCTGACGAAAATCTTGCATCATTTCGGGGCCGGTTTGGACAAATGCTTCTATTTGTCGCTCGATTTTTACATCCATAGTCATCATTATCTTCAGAATAGCATTATACCTTTTATTGAAGACACTCGCAGCAATAAAACTCGCCAATTCTATAATTTTTCGACCCACATATTCACTCTTAAGAGCTGTTTGCCAAATAGTTTTAATGCAACTATTACTTCATTTCGGCTCCCCCGACTTATTTTAAGAGTCCTGACATAATAGATTAAAAGCCGGTCTCTTTAAATGAGCACAATATAATCAGCTATCAATCCTTCATTACCTGCTTGATTTTCGTCCTGCGCAACGTCTCAGAAAATACCTATTATCTCAAAATCAATTTTTTTTACAAAATCGCTTTAAGGGTTAATTTTACATACATATGTTGATTGACATGATTTAAAAAATGCAATAACAAAAAATCGATTTTTTGACCCTTTCTTGAGAAAGACTTTTAATAAAATATTTTTACTTCTTAAAGATATTCTCTCAAAGTGATAACGATTCAAGATATATATGATGATAATTATTACTTATTATATATATTATATATATCAGGAATGTACTTTTCGCGCAATCAGATGCGGGCTTGTCGAAGAAGACGTTCCTGTTACGTGTTCTTCATTAATGTATTTCTTCGTCGTTTTTCTAGGTATTTGTACCTGTTCCCGCATTTATTGGGTTTGATCGCGATGATTATTCTACCCCGTCTAGGACTGTTACAAAAAACGCACAAGCTGGCTGCGAAGGCTGAGATCGACCACTCCGCAGCGGCCAGCAATGGAAACGCGCACAAAACGATGTAGTCTGCGGCGCGACGTTACCGCGACTTACGAAAGACAAATATTTTTTATGGACGTTTTTAATATATATATTATATATATATACATATTATATATATATACATATTATATATACTTATATAAATGTATAAATGTACCTATATAACGATATTTCTTGTTACAACGCATTACAGATGTGAAAGTTTATCAACAACGTACGGCGCGTGTTCGTGTAGAACATTATTATCGAAACCGATGTATCATTTTTATATGACAGATGACACAAATTTTATAATTCGCCTAAATATATGGCCGTTTTATCTACGTCGCAGCTCTGTCAAACCTTGGTCGGCTCTCCTCTCCATATTCAATCGGTGCATCCTGCATGTTGACCGAACGAAAAGGATAAAGTCGAGGTTTCGATAGAGTGAGTGACGCGACGAAGTTGAGGAGATAACAATATTGTAATATTAAAACTGTTAATTTCCATAAAGAGATATGAAAGTGAATACTATATTATTATTGGAGCATTGTGCAGTAGAAACCGCACGCCTGACTCAAATACTGTTCAAATACAAAGATAAGACCAATGAAATCTTTGAATATTTTTTTCATAATTTATTCAGCAAAAGTTGTATACAATTGTATCATTTTTCTATGTAGTCTCCATTGTATTGAAAGTGGCTGCGCATATAACCAGAATTTTTTTCTAGAGGACCCATGTACCTTTTAAGCGCTGAAGAACTTGTCTCAAACGCAATGGAGACTACTACGGTAGAAAAATGACACAGTTTTATGTATTACTTTTACTCGATGAAAAATTATGAAAAAATAACACTTAAGGTTTTCATTTGAAATTTACTCTCGTATAATTACTGACCGCGACGGGTCGGTTAAATGGCTTTGTACGCACAGCTTTATTCGATCGCCGCCTAATGGAATATCATGTTAGTAATCGGGTAAAGAGAAGCACCGGGACTGTCAGCGAGCACACGAAGCCTTACCACGCTGGCACACTCGACTCTCGCTGCGCGAGAGAGCGTCAGTTGGAGTTTCGTTATTCGACGACACCGAGAATACAACACGCCGGAACTTCGCGGGATTGGTCTACCGGAGCATGGTAAAATCTATCGATCATTATTCGCACATCTGATTTCTTCCTTTGATCGTCATTGAAAATTCGGTCGCATAAACGCTTCCCTGCGTGAAAAAGAAGCTGTCACTGACTCTGATGAGAAAACTCGTGTTTTTACATAAAAGTCTCGAAGGGAAATGTATCCACAGCTCGAGTCGAACGTGCTGTGTATATCTGGAAGTAAATCCGATTTGCAGTATCGATGATTTGCAGAAGCTCTTTACTTTGGTGAAGGTCGCCTACGCTATGCTGATCGTCACCCTTCTGTTGATGTTGTGGGCGTCCGTGGCGCGAATGCACGAGCTACCCGTTCAATATCCGCCGTGCTTCTTCAATCCGCTCTGCACCTGCTCGAAAGCCATACCTGACCTAGGCATAGTGGCGTGCTACAATGTGCCGATGCCGCGAATACCGCAGCCGATTAACTCGTCCAAGGTGTTTATGCTGCAGCTGGAGAACAACGGACTCAGATTTCTGCAACCGCAGTACCTCATAAACACCGGTAGGAGGCTGAGTTTCAAAATTATAAAATAAGAAGTCAGGAGAAACTTCGTCTCAACATTTACTCTGACCGCTCATTCTTGCTGATTTTATATTTTAAAAAATTTACGAAAGTGTCCTATATATATTATTAGTTTTAAAATATACCCAGAATCATTTAGTTATTCTTTAAAACGTTAATTTTTGCACATTGCCATTTATAACTATTCGTTTTAACACGTTCCACGCCAACTGATATTTTTGTCATTAAGAAACAAAATACAGTAAAATAATTTGTTTTACCATCAATTAGTACTCTGTTATCGTATTTATAACACTTTAAAAACACTGTAAGTCGATTTCTGTACACATAGCGTAATAATAAATTTTCAGTTCTTATAACCCGATAAGACAAACCGGTACTAAGACGACGTTGCACTTTTTGCTATAACTAAAATGTTGAAAATTTGGGTACCGAAAATATTAAAGCTAAAACAAAATGAGTAACATTTTATGAGGATTGTCTCAACAAACCGTATCTATGTATAGATTGTTTGAATAAAATACATCGTATATTCGATTATAAACGCAAAATGCTTAAAAAAGTTATATTTTACTTGTTTCATACTAAGATCTATAGTTTCTTTAATGTGTTCAGTTTTATTTTACAACATCTTATTTGTTATTTTTCAACTTTTCAGCTTTAAAATAAATTTTATTTTATTTTGTTCTACTGTACATTTTATAATTTGAATATTCACTTTTTTGCAATAAGTAACTTTCCAATTCACAAGAAACCATAAACTAAATAATTATAATTTATCATGCTCAACAACATGTACCGTTTTCGGCAGGGAACGTGTTAAACTAAATAAATTGTGTCGCCAGGAATCTGACCGACGACTCACACCGTGTGTTTCAGGTCTTTACAAACTACAGATCAAGCATAATCCGCTGGCGGACATCCCAGACGAAGCCTTTCTAGGTCTCGAGCGATCACTGTGGGAGCTCGACTTGTCCTACAACCAGCTCGCCAGCGTGCCGAGCAAATCGTTCAGGCATCTGCAAAAACTGCGGCTTCTCGAGCTCACAGGTGCTCGCCTTTCGTTCTTGATGAGAATTGCGTTTACATCAATTGAAAATTATCTTCATCTACATCATGTATTTACGCAGGCAACAAGATATCGCGTATCGCTCCGGAGAACTGGCGCGGCTTGGAGAATTCTCTGCAGACCCTGCGCTTGGGGCGAAATGCGATCGAGAAACTGCCAGCCGACGCTTTCGCCGGCCTTACGTACCTGGAGATCCTCGATCTCCGGGAGAACAGTTTGAAGGAGATCGATCCGTCGGTGTTCCGGGACGGGATGGCGCACCTCACGCACCTCTACATGAATGATAACCAATTGACGCACGTACCGTACGCTCAACTGTCCCTGCTAAAGCGCATGAAGGTCCTCGATCTCAGCTACAACAGGATTTCGAAGATGCTGCAGGCCCAACAAGAACCGGAAATCAAAGACATACAGATGTCCTTGGATGTTCTGCAGCTGGATTACAATCAGATCGATATGCTCGCATCTGGTGACTTCCAGCATTTCTACAAAGTCAACCGCACGTATCTCAACGGCAACCCCTTGATGATGATCGAGGTACGACTTCGAAGTATACAAGTTATATAACTGATATAAAATTGCGTGAAAATTGACAGAACATTTATTGAAGCTATCCGAAAGATTTTTGTGAAAAATTAAAATGTAATGTATTAAGTATTATTTTATATGTGATAATATGATAATATAAAAAGTATAATAAAAATATGATAAAAAATAATATAGAAATATATGACGATTATAATAATTGACAGTAACGTATTTTCATGTATTTGCAATTAAAGGAGGGCACATTCAGAGACTCGCGCATTCGCGAGCTTTACCTGAGCGACTGCGATCTGCTGGAGGTGAACTCGGCCAACTTCGCCGGCTTAGAGTCGACTCTCGAGTTGTTGGATGTCTCAGGAAACAATATCACCACGCTGCCGAATCGTCTGTTTCAAGAATTCGATTTTCTCCGTACACTCGTCTTCCGTGAGAATCACATCGACACCTTCTCGCCAAGTAAATAACGCACTTTTCGAAACTATTGTTTAAACAATTATGCTCAATTAATTATTAATAAATTGGTTATTAATCAATAAATAAATTATTGATTGGATAAATTAATAATTAATTAATTATTAATAATAGCTAGGCTATATATTATATGGGCAGTTAATCGTGAACCAAGTACCATTTTCACGATGTGCTTTTTCAGCCGAGGTGTTCAACGGTTTCCAATATTCCCTGTACAACTTGGATCTCAGCGGCAAGCAGAACAGTATGATCTCCCTTCAGGATCTACGACAAATGAGAAACCTGCGCTTCCTCTCGATCTCGCGAATGCCGCAGGCCACTCTGTCGGCGGACGATTTTCTGGAGTTCGGTATGGACATCAAGGAGCTTAGGATAGTTCACAGTAATCTGAACGCCATCAAGAGCCACGCTTTCATGCACGTGCGTGGGATCAAATACCTCGACTTCTCTGAGAATTCAATATCGACGATAGACGACGAAGCTTTCTCGGAGGTAAATGCGTCCTCTATTGCTCTCGCAATGTCCATCATCTTTTGCGACTTTCCAATTTGTCGTATCTTCGCACTATAGGTGGGCCACTCTCTTTTGACGCTGAAGATGTCTCACGGCCTCTCGTCCACGATTTCCGAGATACCAAACCGACCGTTCAAGTCGCTGACGAACCTGCAGCATCTCGACTTCAGCAACAACAAGATTCGCTCTTTGCCGGCCACGTCGTTCCACTTTCTGAAGAGGATCAAGCGCATCGAACTGCAGGATAACGAGATCGACAACATACCGAAGGGCACTTTTCAAGTAAGTCATCTGTTCGCTTGAAAAGTACTGGCCCACCTATTGAGAGGATCGCTCGTCTCACAGGGTGATATACACTCCACGCTGGAGGAAATCAATTTCGCGTTCAATCAAGTGAAGAACCTACAAACCCACACGTTCGTCGATCTGTCGGCCTTAATGACAATCAACCTGGAGGACAACGCCATCGAGAGGATTGAGAGGCGAGCCTTCATGAATATGAACCGGCTTAAGTACATCAACCTGCGCGGCAATAAGATTAGAGACATCACCGATGAAGCCTTCCAGGTAATTTGATATTCAAGTGTACGCGGCAAAAGTCTCGCAGAACATACTAGAATGTTCATATGTGCTTTCGGCCATAAATTCTGTAAGGAATTTGGGGTCAAAATGACCTTCAGCAGAATTTCTCTTCCACACTTACAATTTTCGATATTACGTACGTCGAAAAATTAAACCTGAAGTTCGGGAATTTGCTGCATACATTTTTAACGTTTCAGAATCTACCGGATCTGGAATTTCTCGACCTCGCGTACAACAAACTCAACGAGTTTGATTTCGCCTCCTTCGATCAGGTGGGCACACTGTCGTCGTTCAAAGTTAACGTTAGCCACAACGAGATCTCGAGATTGTGGGTAAACAGCACTACTTTCACACCACCCAGTGAGTCTCACACCCATCGCGTGTTCGCATTTTTTCTCGTCTCGTTTCAACTAATTTTTTCAGCAAACTGCATTGCCTTACATACTTTTATGATTTCTGTATTAATAAGCGCTGTAATTTTATATTAATGGATTTTCCCGAAATCTCTGAGTCGTTTTAATCTCTACTTCCAGTCGGCGGCAACGTGCAATCAAATATCAAAGTCCTGGATCTGAGCTACAATAACATATCCGACATCATGAAGTACTACTTCAAGCCAGTCGAGTATTCGCTCACCCATCTGTATTTGTCGAACAATGAACTGAAGAATATTACTCAGGGCATCTTCGGCAACATGCCGCACTTACAGTGGCTCGACCTGCGACACAACGAGCTATACGAAGTGGACTTCGACTGTTTCAAGAACACGAAGAACCTGCAGGTGCTCCTTCTCTCGTGGAACGATATCACGGACATCCCGGCGGAGGCATTGAGACCCCTGAAGAAATTACGCATCGTTGACCTATCTCACAACAAACTGAGGTCCCTGCCGGATAATCTGTTCATCGACGCCAACATAGAGAGCCTCGATCTCTCGCACAATCAGTTCACAAGGCTGCCCATCAAGAGCATGTCGCTCACCTCCGCCGCGAGTTTGGCGAACTTGGACATGTCCTGGAACATCTTGTCGGGGATTCACAACACCGATACGATATTCAGACTTAGGGTGATTTTCGTTGAATTCCGACCAAAGAGTCATTCAATAATTACGTCATGCCACGAGGGGGAATCTATTAGTTTTCGTGATGGATGTGATGGCTGAAGGAGGAGGGGGAAGGGTAATTCCACATGTGATATAATATTTGAAGAGGGTCCAAATACTTGGTGACAAAATGTGACGAAGGAGGAGGGGAATAAAAATACTCAAATTTTGCCTGACGTAATTGTTGAATTAAATCAATGAATAATAATAGAAATTGCCAACGCCAATCTCAAGTTCTGTAACTTGTCGTTTAACGACGATCGGAAACTGAATAATTTCTATCTGTGTAGCAGATGCGTCTTAGCAAATGCGTTCATATCGGAATGAATCTAAGTTGCAATGCGCACTCTTCGTTCTTTTGTTAACAGTCATGTTTAATTAGTGTAAATTTGATACACAATACAGGGTCTAGTGTGGCTCGACTTATCGTACAATCGACTGGTCAGACTGGACGACGGTGTGTTCTCCGACCTGCCGTATCTGGCCCACCTCGACCTGAGTCACAATAAGCAACTCATTCTGGAAACTCGCGGAAGGACGTTTTACGGTCTAGAGGATACGCTCCTGTATCTCAGTCTGAGCAACATTTCCCTCTTGAGCGTGAGTGTTTGATCGGTGATGCGATGAGTACCATAAAACAGCTCGTAATCGGCCAAGGATAGGTTCCAGAGTTGCCGTTGAGACACCTGCAGACTTTATACTTGGCGCATAACGAGCTGGCGTCAATACCCGCAGAAATGTCGTCGAATTTGACGTCTCTTCACTACCTGGACTTGAGTTTCAACGACTTGACAGTGGTACCGTTGATCACTCACTCGCTGCCGGAGTTGAAGACCTTTAACTTGGCGGACAATCCCATCACAGCTATCACGAATACGAGCTTCTTAGGCGTGGCGGACAGTCTGGAGGAGTTGGACATACGAAGACTCACTCTGTCGCTCTTTGAAGTAAGAGTCTTCTGCAAAGAATCTGGAAGAACCCGTCTAATGCCCGTTTCTACAATTATAGTTTAAGTTTAATCGACGATGAACTCGAACAACGAAATTGACCAATCGCATTGATCAGTCCAGCTAATTGGCCAGCGCGATTGGTCAATTCCGTTGAGTTAATAATCATCGATTAGATTTAAACCATGATAATAGAAACACTTATTAGAACACAAAACACGAACTGTGATGAATTTTTGCAGGCGGGTGCACTCTGCAAAGCCACTAAGCTTCGCAAGCTATACATCACCGCCTACAACGGCGTGAAAAACTTCAACTTTCCCAATATTCTACAGTACAATCATGGCCTGAAGCATCTGCTTATTGACGTAAGTATTGCGCGTGTAATACCTAATGCTCAAGCAAAGTCAGCTTGGCTAAATTCGAGCGTGATTACCGCAGATCCAGAACGACACCGATCTAGAGAAGGAAATGAGGGGAAAATTCCCTTACAAGTTGTACAACATCACGTTGACCGGTCGAGACCTGAAGACCGTACATCCGGAGATATTGCGTGTAAGTTCTCATCTTTTCACGATGCTCTCTTCTTCTCGTAAAGCGAAATTTCACGATGATTTCTCCAGGGCGTGCAAAATCCACATCTTCACTTCGGCCTGTACAACAGCAGCATAGAGACCATGTCGCGGGAGACTTTCAGCAATGCGCAACGGGTGCGCAATGTCACGGTGGAAATTCGCGACAGCGACATTCGAACGCTGCACAATCCGTCGTCCGGTTACAAGCCGGGAGTGCCGGGCGAACGGTTCCTCATGAAGCTCCGTTTAGCCGGCAGCTATCTCAATTGCGACTGCGATATTGGGTACGATGAACTCGACGAAACGAACTCGAAACGTTGACATTATTACAGCAGATCTAATAGCAAATTTGAGTACCCATATCACTCCGGATTAGGGAGCATTGAAAGCCGCTACGTATAAAAGTATAATAGCATAACATAAGCACTTTGATGAAATAATTAAATATTCTGCTAAATAACATGATAATATAAATTAGCCATAGTTATGCAAGAAAGGTCCAATCCACATGGAGCACGTTTCGAGAAAAATGAAAAGAAGTGAAAATTCGGTGCATGATTTAAAAAATACAAATAGCACTGAGATTCCTCACAATTGTTCAAGAAGTCAAGCACGGTCTATTTTCTTTTCTTTAAGGATGTTCACTGGCAAGCTTAAATCTTGAAAAAAAAAAATGAATAAAAAAGATGCAATTGGTAAAAAATGATACAACTAGTGGAAAATAAAGATTATTTTTTATAATTAATTTTAGGCGTTCATAAGGCTTGGATCTTTTTGTTTATGTAAGAATATGTATAGACGACTCATTGATAAGAAAATTTCAAAAATCATTTTGTGGGTTGGATCTTTCTTGCATAACTATGGCCAATTATTAGGTGTCTAATCATCCAAAATGCTTATGTGCATATTCATTAAAATAACTGCTTCATGTATAGCAGTCTCAGATCTGTCAGATCGTGGGATTTCTGGATGGTTCACATAATTTCTATAAATGCACCAATCACGCGATATTCCCAGCACGCAAACAATCCACTATAAAAACAACATTGTGTGCTGCAGGTTTTATATTCATGTGATGTTATGTAAACCTCCACCACGTGAATCACGATTCAAAAATCCGACGATCTGGCAACTCTGAACAGTCTTCAGTATGCACCAATCCAATGTAGTGCGGATGATCGAATTCACTACGAGCTTTGCTTCTTTACACTTGCACAGGTGGATCGAAGTGTGGCAGAGGAAGCACAGACAGTACCAGGAAGATCGTTGTGCCTCTTACGACAAGTCCAAAAACGTGGAGCGCGAGGAAGGCGACGAATTCAGCTGCTGGGACAACGGTTGGGACGACGATCTGCGCGAGACGTCCTGCGTGAATAAGAACAACGCGTCGCTGTCGAATACGTTGAAAGCGGAGCTGGAATGCGGATGGGGTGCGGCGAGCCACGCCATCCTGCCATCCTTGGCCCTCCTCGTCTTCTCGATCTTCGTAGCTATCATCTATTAAGCGTACCTCATCCTCGTGGCTTCATTTGCCCTCCGCTCGATATTTTGAAGTCGAATCGCGAATCTTGTACCCGAAAGAGGATCGTCGCATCGCAAAAAGAGATCTCCGTTCGCGATTATCACGCATGCTCATGTACTTGTACAAAAGAAGACTAATTCGAAATTAAATGGATTTCTGTAAGGCTGACATCGTGGTGGATTTATTTACGCTTTACGGCGTATCGCGACGCGACGAATTCGTGTTAAATCCGTCCTTGGCTTGTCTTAATTGCTCGTCACGAGTTTCACCGCGATGCTGACTGCCATTTGCACAATTGGGAAGACGATGAAGCCAAGTATGAATATCAGACAAACGTGTATGCTGAGCAACTGCACGGCGAGTACCGCGAATTTCACCGTCATTTGGCGCAGATCCTTCGTCTTCCGTATGTTGAGTATTTGGTCCAATACAAACCTCAGTATGAAGGAAAACATCTAGGAGTTGCGTCATATTATATTTTTTCGGTAATTATGTCGAATAGGGGACCTATTCCCAATGACTTTGACCTTGGCATATATTATAGGGTCACCTTCCTCTGAGTAACCTTCAGAAAGTTTCAACCGTCGTTCGTTGTTTGTCAAAATATCATTAACGAAAGAAATTTGAAAAATATATTGTAATATGTTATATGTATTTGTTGGCATACTTGAGTAAGTACGTAGATGTTGGATTATGATAAAAGAAATAGTCGATATTTGTACGAAACGAAAGTTTTAATTAATAATTGACCAATCTAATGGATACATGTAATACATTTAGGGGCCTTTGTTCATTTTTAAGAGGCAAAGCCTCTTTAAAGCCCCTCCTCCACTAACATGTGTATTTTAGCAAATTATATCCTCCAGTATTGAAAAAAAATGTTATATTTTTCAAACTTACTTTTGTTAATAACTTTTTAACAAACAAAAGAGCAATAGCTAATTTTCTAAAAGTTACTCAAAGGAGCAGTTTCTCTAACATATGCCAGATCAAAATCGTTGAGGATGAATCCCATATTCAGCATAATTTGCTATACTTTCATCTTAGTATAGTCAGAAAAAATTAGAGATATTCTCTGCAGTAATTACCTGAATAACAGGGATGATGTTAATGAACATGTATAATAAAGCCCACAAAGATTGTACTGTGACCTGAGCCATCATTGTGATCAAGGCAGCAAATGAATATTTAGTTTCTGGTATGCGATAGGATTCCTGATGGTTTGCCAAGTATTCTCGATAATCAGAGAGAATGCTTCGTCCCATTTTTCCTTCCTGAGGTTCGTCCTTTTTCAGAATGTCATCTATGGAAAAGAAGAACTTCATTACATTGAATTGTGCTAAATATAAAAAAATATGTCAAACATTGTTTGCACGAACATATTTTTACTTTCATGAATTTATTCTTGATAATTTGATATTCACCCGATTCGGATTTTTCATAACGCGTACGATCACAAATGGAGAGGCTGTGTGGATTTTTGTACTTCCACGAGATACGTTCGACTCGTCGAATTGTATTTCGTGTATCTGATATTGTTTTATGTTCCCAAACATCCGATTTCTTTCGAGCCTCGATTGACGCGGTCGAGATTTTTTCTGTGCCAATTGTACCGATTGATTTGGATGAACTCGTCAATTTTATGAGATATTTGTCCTCTCCGTTCGTACATTCCGACTTATCCAAAATCTATAGATATTATAACACGTGTAATTTGTCATTTTTCAATTAGATATACTTTATCGTGTATGATAAATCTGACTTTTTCATCTAATGATAAATGTAATTTGACTTTTTTTTTATCTAATATGCCTTTTATTTCAGGCTTTACTTTGCTAAATATGCGAAAATTCTCCACTTGTTGAAATTGCTCGTGATACTTAAAAGTACGGTTATTAGTATCGTCCGTTTCGAAAGAAGTAGACGTGACTTTGACGGCTTCCTTTTCTTCGGCACGCATACTGGCGAGTTTTACAGACAAATCGTTCGAAACGTCTAAATTTACAGAAGACGATTGTACGTCGCAACAACGAGAAACGTGTGATTTATCGGGCTTGTAAAACTGTCAAGTTTATAATTTCTGTCAATCCTGAATATAGTGTATCTTTATGAAGAACGCGAAGTTATTGCAAGATCTTTTAATTGTCAACTCATTACGACTTCTATAATGTTAAGATATACTTAACCTTTTGACGACGACTTTTTCGGCCGGGTGAGGTAGCAGGACGAGGCGATTTTCGCAGATGTGTCGAGTGTCTTACAGGGTACAATAAAATGATCTTATATACAAATTATCTTACAAAAACGTTATATTTTGATAGTTTATCTATATTTACACCTTTAAGAATATAATTTTGCAAAAATTACGATCTGTATTTTAGCTTCGTATGATAATTTATAAAACATTGACCCAAGATGCATTCTTGGCTTATCTAGACATGCATCGCAGTAATAGGTCGTCTCATGTCTCCCACCTGGTTTGTTTCGACTAGAACAAACTTTGCAATCCTTCTTTGTACCAGTAAGAATTACACGGAGTTTTCCGTTTAGCCGAATTTCGTCAGAATTGGAGGTCGATCTTGAAGCTCGACCTCGCGGTTGTCGAAAATCTCCTCTCAATTGGTTTACCAAAATTTCTCGAAAGTGCAAATGTATAAGTGGCTGTTCGTTTCTCTGCCTTTTTACTTGTTTGTAGAGAATATACGAATTAATTAAACAAATTTCCAATCCCCAAAAAAATAGTTTGCGCCACCACTTCAGGAAATTCCTCATAAAGCAGTATGTCGAGCTATACTGATCTGCCAGATCAACGCCGTCCATGAATTTGGTATAATTTATGATAGCATTAGGTTTTCTAATCACAATTTGAACACTATGCCGGAATATTCGTTCAACGGTACTCATTTCTGCATTATGATAATTTGTCAATAGCGTGACGATCCTCTTATCTTTCCACGCCAGAATCACATTATTATTTCTTACGATAGGCTACCATTGACTTTCCTTTTGGAAGTTGTCGGTTTTTTTATTGCATCTGGCAACTCTTTTCCATTAGTTAATATTGTCCCAGTCAAATGACACTTTAGTTTATATAATTCATTAGCTAAAATGTAACTAGTGTAATATCGATCTGTAAACATGTGATGTCCCTGCGCACCTGAAAATTTATTCAATAACATTGTATATAAGTGTAAGGGGATTCTTGTCGATACTGGAAGGTCCGGTCTTATCAATGTTTCTCTTGTAAGGCTGCCATAGTAAAGTAAAATTCCACAAATATAACCCGTATTGGAATCTGCCAGTGTATAAATTCGAATGCCCCATTTAGTCGGTTTCTGTGGGTTATATGTAATAAATGAAATTTGAACTTTACGACAGATTCGTCGACACAAATTTCTTCGCTGGGTAAAATGATTCAAAAGTCTTGAGTTTATATAATCAAGGTAGCCAGTTATGAGCTGTAACGTGTTGTAATGTTGCTACCTTGTGCCGATACTATTTGTACATGTAACATCGAACAAATTTGGGTAAATCGATCTCTTGTAAAGGTGTTCGCATAAAATGGAATGTGGCTTATTGAGTCTGTTGATCAGTATTCTTTCATATTGACCAATGGCATTGTCCTCATATTTACAATCACTGCGATAAATGCCCAAAATTCTTCCTTCGTGACATTGTACCATGTTTGCCAAAGCGACCGTGATAATAGCGTCCTTCCCTCTAATTTTTTCGCAGCATAGTTGTTTGTATCTGCTATTATTTGATCGACTAGCTCGTCGGTAAAGAACATCTTGAAAAAAATGCAAAGGTTCCTTCACATTGAAGGATACCTGTGGCTCTGCAGGTCTTTCGCTTTTTTAATTTTATTCTGGGTGGTATTTCCCTGGACTCATCACAAGCTGTCCATTCTGATTTATCAGAGGTTTGTGGGGCACCACTGTCACTTTCGGATTCGCTATCTATTACTCTGATTTTTCGACTTCTTACACCCACTGCTATGTCATCATCTTCATCGCTTCTTTCACTTTCTATCCCACTAATTTCTTTATGAATACAATCGATTTCGTCTCGGACCGTATCAAAACAAAATTCGTCTTCACTAGAGCTGATTTCACTTATGAAATCCATTTTTGCCGGGGTTCAAATAAAATCACTTTATACAAATTCTTCTGATACTTTCGCCACAATCACCAAGTTTCAACTAACGTCGGAGTCATTGTCAGAGCCACAGTCTTAGAAGAATCTTTCATTCGGGAATGCATTTAATTGACTAATCATGATAAAGAAATTTTTTCTTCCTGAGCTCTTTTTGTCTTGATTAGCCAATTATATGCTGTTTCTTCCTCAGTGTGGTGTTTCCGAACGCAACTTTGATCGTCCTTGGGACACTGGAATGTATCTACCATAGACGTATAATAACTAGACTGCGCATTCAGCCGAAGAGTCGTCAATTAGAAAGAGATAGTTGACGTACGGGTACTGTTCTGTCTTCGTCTGATAATGTATGAAGCGGGAATTTCATCCCCATTATAGGCGTGTTGCATTTAACGCTCGTAACGACGCGAGCGTCCTTTTATAGGGAACCTGCCCTATAAAAGGATTCTTTACTTCCACTACACGTCTTTAGAAAAAGACGGAATGGTACAACAACTATCTCTTTCTATTTTCTCATTCAATCAAAGGAAGATGTTGGGACCGCACGATTTAGTTATTATACGTCTATAGTGTCTACAAACCGAATTCTAGGGATTTTTCTTTTAACCAAGAACTTGAAGATGATCAGCATGAACATGGATCCGAAATGGCATATTTGGCGGTCTATTGATTTCCATTTCAGTGTTAAAGAGCTGAGGAAGGTTATGCGGTAAAACGCCGCAAAGAAATTTTTGATATATTACCTGATTCTACATATTCGTCAAAATGGTAAACAATCAAATTTTGAATATTATTAAAATAATTATAATTTTATAGTCCTTAATCTGGATTGTTTCAATTTTTTGAATGTAAGGCTTGGTTTATTGTTTCCCTAACCAAAACGGAAAAGTCAATGAATATTGTGAATTTGAAAGCCTTTGTCAAAGGAGAATTAAGATGTTTCGGATAAATTTAAAATAATGAGTAAATATATTAAAAAGAACAATCTTTACTGTCAAATATAAAAAGGCTTAAAGTTGACATTTTAGGCATTTTGTTTTGTCGAGGTTATAATGAATGAAAAAGACAATCATCCGTAATATCTCGCAGACATGTAGGGAGGAGTCAATATATATTCGACAAAAATCGATATTTTATATAATTATTTACAATTTCTTTCAGACGATTGGAAAGAACAATAAGATGCTACAGCATATCAACTATAGGGTCAGAATCATCCTTCAAGACTCTAGAACATTCATAGGCACATTCAAAGCCTTTGATAAGCATATGAACTTGATTCTTGGTGACTGCGAGGAATTTCGCAAGATCAAACCAAAAAATACCAAGCAGCCGGAGAGGGAAGAGAAACGTGTATTAGGATTTGTTCTTCTACGTGGTGAGAATATAGTTTCCTTGACAGTGGAAGGTCCACCACCACCTGAAGAAGGATTACCTAGAGTACCGATCCCTGGAGCTGCACCGGGACCTGGTATGGCACGTGCTGCTGGCAGAGGTATGCCGGCAAGTGTTGCGGGAGTACCAGCTGGTCTTCAGGGACCTGTCAGAGGCGTCGGAGGACCATCGCAGCAGATTATGACACCAGGTAGTAGAGGTCAGGTATCTGCACCTCCACAGATTCATCCTGGTGGTCCTCCGCGTATGCCAGTTGGTGGACCTCCGCCAGGAATGATGGGACCGCCAGCGGGAATGATGGGTATGAGTCTTCTTATATGGAATCGATATTTGATTCTTTTGGACCCACCTCTCTCCTCTCTATCCTCTTTTATCTATTTTTATTAGTTTTTGTTTGATATAGTATCAACATTATCATCATACTACTCGAAACAATTAGACATTTATACTAATTGAATAGTTTTGTCAAATAGCTGTATATAAAGTTTGAATTATGTATATGAGCAACAGAGTTAAAATGAGTCACAAAAGAAGTATTTGATATACTTAAAAATATTTATTAAATGATATAAGTATGACAGTGATGACAGGCCTTTGACAAGGTGGTATTTCAATTCTTTTGAGCAATATATGATTTCTGAGGCTAATTGCTGCAGTGATTACATCTCTGTTATTGTTAAATATCTATAATCGTATCATGCAATCAATTGTCTTACAGGTATGCCACCTGGAATGCCACCTATAGCACGTGGTGGTCCACAGATGCCGCCTGGAATGAGAGGTCCACCTCCGGGTTTAATGCGTGGTGGTCCGCCTCCTCGTCCATATTAATTAATGCTACTCCTCAATCTTTTAAGATATTTTATTACAAACTCATTATAAGGGAACAATAATGTAAGGACATTTTTTTCTTAATATTAAGACTCGGTGTTACCTAGTCCGTGCATAAAAAGTCTTTTCAATGATGCGAATAAAAATCAGTTAACAATCGGGAATGCAAAGAACCAACAAACTGCTGTTTTATTCAAGCTTAAATACCTTTATTTTTCTTCCGGAATTAACTATAAATATTGTTTATATCTGTACATATGTTGCACCGGTACGATATTGTACATAGAATCTCTCAGACTTCAGCTGCATTAGCTTTTACCGATAGATTTTTCATCCGAATTGACCGGATGTTATATCTTTGCACAGTTTCATAATATTCAACATGATCTAAAACATATATCTCGGTAACAAAACCTTAAGCTGAAATTATGTTAAAATAATTCTTTGAACTTTAACAAAAAATAGCAATTTAATTTATTAAGACATTCGCTATCGTTTGAGAATTAATCATAAATAAAAAAGTTCAAGATTTCGTAGATGGAAGGTAGGGGAGAATGGGGTAAATACCGGTCAGTGGGTAATGACGGTCACCTTTATATCTCAACTGTGGTCGATACGCATTGAATCTTGTAAATATCTGTCCTTTGTGCAGGATCGAAGGAAGCATCAGACAAAACATTGCTATTTTAGCATTGTTCACGGCTGAGTTATTGCGGAAAATTTGTTTTGTTGTTTTCTGTTTCTTTTCTGTTTCTTTCTTAAGAATCGCTGCTAATGACACGTAATAAGTCGGTACGTTTATTCATGCTAAATTATTGCACTGTTTTCTACAATGTCATTTAAACCTAATATACGGTAGAAATATTGGTTTTTTGAATTGATGGATCATTACAACGTGGTTAATCTAATTATGAAAACATGTAATTTGAATAGTGCAAGTCAGTCGGTGCTGGAGTGACCGGGATTAAAAATTATGTTCTTTTTGTGGAGAATTTGACAGAGACGATGAAATGTACTTTTTCGCTGCATATTTTGCGAAATTTGTCTTCTCTAGTTTTATACACTGTAAATATTGCTGATTAGCATTACCTCGAGATTAGGGCAATCCCGTCAAATCTTATTTTTTCATTTGTGCTTCTTCGGTAGATATTTTTATAGATTTTTTTGCACCAATTTATATTATAGTAAACATCTTTAGATATCTATTATATTAAGCAGATTCTGAATCCGACATTTCTTACCAGTTTTATGAGAGTTTCCGCTTAGGTGACCGCCATTACTCCGTTTTACCCTCTAGTATATCCGACGCTCAATACATATGTGTAATATGCTCGATTGAACCAATGATCAGTGATCCAGTTCATTTATTGAGGCGAATGTCACGATCGCGCGTAATAGCTGCTTACATATTACAGCGATTTAGGCGAGAAGGTATCCTGGCAATTTGGCGGAAATCCTGCGTAAAGATGCACGATTACAGTAAAAAAATCTGAGTAACAGAGCACCGCAATATTGCGAATCGAAGGGCAGTGTCACTTCGCTTATGAAAAAATATACTCTTTCCCTGTTAAATCTAATTATGCTCTTTAATGAACAATAGATTGCTGGCTCGCTCTATACGAGCAAGTTTCGTTAAAAAAGAGAGAGAGAAAGAGAGAGAGAGAGAGAGAGAGAGCAAGAAACGCGGTACCTACGATAAAATAACTAATAAAACTATATCGAGTCGAGAGTTTCGATTAACACTCACGCGCTTTATTAATGGCGATAGAGTGGAAAAGGTACTGTTATGTGTACACATATATGTACATACATGCGATATATGTGTGTGCATATATATATATATATATATATGCATACATACGTGTACACACAAATGTTGTCACCTGCATCCACTCTGAAACGAGCATTTCGCACAATAGCCCAAGTTCTGCGGTGTATTTACAAAGTATTTACAATGCCGCTGCGACAGTAATAAGTCTGAGCAAGTGACAGATTCATAGAACCAAACTTCTAGTACTTAATACCATAATATCACATTATACAGAAACGTTTAGTCTTACACATTTCCAAGTGTTACTCTAGTCACGGGCAGAAATACGAAACAATTTTCGAATGTGCGTGAGACTTGACACATCCGGTTACCACTCCTCTCGCAACACGCAAAATGTCTCGGCTTGCGCCGCCTGTTCTACAACGTTACACGTAGCCGCAGGGCTCCCGATTCGACACGCAATTAAGAAACAAGTCTCGGAATCGAAGAGCTACGCAAAATGCTGCTGCTGATGGAAGCTGCCTGTTATTCGTTCTCGTGAAACACACGAGCAATCGGACAGCTACATTTAGCGCTAAATGCATCTCGACACAATTCCGGCTTGCAATCCTCTTCTAAACTAATAGGAAGGAAAGTCACGTGATAAAGTAGAATAAAAAATCGGTCGGTCACCTAGGAACGATCGGTAATTTGCGTTGCGAGCTGGAATTGAGAAAGTCGGCTGCGTTCTGCCGAGAAAAAGAAGTTCAGTGAGCGCGTTCAAGGCCAGTTTCACTGCCTCCGATTTAACTTAACCGACTGGTTAAGTGTCAACCGTGATTGGTTATTTCCGACCAATTCTGCCTAACGACAAATGCGACTGGTCGATTCCAATGGAATAATCAGCGGATTAAGTTAATCGGAGGTTGTGAAACTTATGCCCTTATGCCCGTTTCCATCATGATTCAAATCTAATCGACGACGATTAATAACTCAAATGGGATTGTCCAATTCTATTGATCGGTTCAGCTAATTGGCTAATACGATTGATTGATTCCGTTATGTCAATCGTCGATTAGGTTTAAATAATGGTGATAGAAACGGGAAGTATTCTTTTAGATTCTCGATGGATCTAGGAGTATGTACCAATCAGGAGTAATAATCATTAAACGTTCACTGAACAATTTTTTCTGCTGAACGTGGGCAATGAATACGCGCGTGTCATGGTTATTTCCTTTTCTCGCAAGAATATGTAAATTATATCAACAGCAGATCGCGATTTGGCACTTACTTACACAGTACTAGCATCAATCAGTATGATTGAATTTCGGTGTCGAAATCTCATTTTTACAAATGATCAAATCGCCTCGCTCGTGCTACGCTACGAAATGAATAATGAGGCTCGGGGGATCGAGGTTGTTCCGGTTTCCGGTTGAAATCATCGGATCTTCCAAGGAGCAAACGTAAGCGTGTGTATGTGTGCGTGTGTGTGTATGTGTGTGTGTGTAAATCTCGTTAAAATAGACGTATATAAATAGAAACATGCGCATGTATTTATATTTACGTAAAATAGATGTATCAGTACGCTTTCGAAACGAAAGTATCAGCCTTGCCGCCGTACGACGTGCGTAACGTCGGTACCTCTTAGTCGTTACGAGTCGTTACGTTCGTCCACGTGATTCACGGTCACCGTTTCCAGGTATTGGGGACTCTCCAAGTTCGCGTCCAATGTCGATTCCAAAGCCGTCGCATCGAACATGTCCGCGTCCTCGCTGGATCCTTGCGTCCGAGTATCGTTTTCAGCATCATCTGCGCGGAGGAAGGTTCTTTCAACCTCAGAATATTTGAAGTTGGAATATTTAGAATTCAAAGAAATTCGGGTGAATATAGAACGTTTCGTAAATCGGGATTGTAATCTTGAGAGTGATTTCGCCTTTTATCGCTTAAAGTTAAAATTACATTATGAGATGCATGCATGGACGTAGTCAAAGTAGAACAGGAGGAGGTGCTTGTCTCCCCTCCTAAATTTTGACAAGGAGAAATAAATTATGAAAAGCATAAAAGCAAATAATGTAACTGAAATAATAATATTGAAGTAATAAAAAATGTAACTGATGTATTAAAATCTACATTTCATAAAAAAGCTACAAAAATGTACATGTTCTGTAATTAAAAATCAATGACAAAGTATTAGCAATGCTTTGAAAATAAAAATGAATATACTGAAAAAGGAAGCTGGAACAAGAAGTGCTGAAAGGGTTTACTGAAAAATCTTTTATTGAAAATTACTAATAAATCTTTCTTATGTAAAGATAAATTCAATAAATGAGTGAATAATAATAAATTTGTGTAAATAATAATAAAATTTGCGCGAAAATAGATCCCCCCCCCCCGAAATTTTGTTAACACCCATGGATGCATGCGTGTCCGTATGCAATATATACCTTCTACATTGGCAAGTTGCGTCGACTTGAGTATTTCCTCAGCTGCCGGCACTTTCGAGGTATCTAGCGAATTTACTACTTGAGAATTTACGCTCGCGTTAACATCTTCATTCTTGCTACAAGAGAAAGATTAGCTGTTACATCCGAGCACGATGCTACGTATTATTGCCACTCGTACCGCTGCTCTTCTGAACTGACCTATGCTGCTGTTTCTCCTCCGCCGTGGAACTGATGACGGAGTCCGTCTTTGGAGACGAGTCCCCGTCGATCGTGCCCGCGTCGCTATTGGAATCTTCCGTTAAGAGGCGCGTGTACCTGCTTTGTATCACAGTCTTAGGTTCCGAATTAAGAACACCGGACGATTCAAGATGCTGCGAAAGAACCTTCGTCTTCTCGAAGACGTCCTGCAGATTGAACACAATCGTGTTTCCAGACTGTAAAATATGATTACAAATGATTACGAGTTAAACTACAGTCGTGAAGAAGATACACACGCTGCCAGAGCCTTACCTTTATATTCGTTTTGACAGAATCTGCATTCGGTGGGTTTACGGCCGGCAACGTGGTCGTTGGCGTTTGATCTCCGTTCAGGGAGACGTGATGCGGTAGAACATTAACCGAGCTCGCATTATGTTGGCTTGTAACACACAGATTCTTGCCTCCCATTATCACCTTTCCTAATACTTCCTGAAACATTAAACGTCGTCAGTGCGATGACGTCTCGACGCACGGCTTTTGTCAGTTGCTACCGCTGAAATATATTCCATACGGGAAGAGGCATAAGCCTCGAAAAGTGAAGCCGACAGAGATGTCAACTTTCGGGTTTCTTCTTTGTCGTATATCGCTCTCTTTAAAAAGAAATAGGTATATAGGTAGATAAGTAAGAGATAAGTTGCTCTAGACATTTATCTCAGGCATGTTTTCTGTCCATAAGCGTTATATGCAGCAGTACCTCTCCCAGTATACTTATATTTCAGTGATTGCCATTCGAATTTTCTGATTCATCCAGGAACAACACGGATGATCTGTATATCAGTATACCTTGCCTGCGTGTGACAATGTTACACCCTTTGCATGACCCTTCTGGATAACGATCACATTAGTTTTAGCGGTTAATTTAGTGTTAGAGTGATGAGGTATATTTACAGCTTTTGTGGAATTTATCGTAACACTCTGAAAGATACACACAATACATAGGTGTTGTACACGTAGCGAAGTGTCTTCTTATATTATTTCCGCTCAGATTTTCTCTCATCGTGGCGGCCATTTAATATGATTTATTTAGCATCATTATTTTCGCATGCAGATTTTTAATGAGACAAATGATTAACGGACAGATTTCAACGAGATTGTACATGACACTCACCATTTTGGCAGTGGACTGCGGACTGAAAGTCGCATTTTGTTCGGATGGCCATTTCTTACACGTTAATAGCGGGGCAGCTTGCTTAACTTGAGGTGGCCCTGGGCCGCTGGACACTGTAGTGCCAGGATGCACAGCCATAACTCGATGTGTATTGCCTGAAAAATTTGTGAATTGTGTGATCTGCACTCTTCAAGATGCATGAAAAATTTCAACCGCTGTCGGAAGCATTTAATTTTCATTGACAATACGAACAAGCGTTACTAGCTTACTTGATATAACTGATTTAGACACTACTGGCTTTGTATTGGTGTGTACGGCCGGTGGCACTCGCTTTATGCAAGACGGACTTAGGCTAGTATTTTCCGATTTTTCGATTTTCTGCGTGTTATCTGCAATCAGAAGGAGTGTCTGGAAATGTGATACGCGCAGAGGCCTCTGTCGTCGCGGTATATTTAATTAGGACATTTCATTTTTCACAAAATCAGATTCGATTTAACGAATTCGTGACGTGCGTACTTGCGTTATCCTGAGATTGTGCGTCTGCATCATTCGACGTGACCGGCGTTACTTTTGTACTAAGTTTGTTCTGCACGAAGCTTACTATCGTCTTAGGCTTGTTGGCGTTGCTTATGCACTCGGAAATTATTGTACTAGTATGCTTATTTGCTGGAACTAAGGGTCGATCGACAGTGTTCTCCGACACTCCGCTCTCCTTAGAACCTGTGTCCAAATAATCGATATAAATATTCGATACGAATTCATTGAAGCAATAAATACACGTGACAAGAATACCAACCTGAGATCTCGACGGCTAACGGGATTAATTTAACATTTTGATGCTGCGTGGTGTCCTGTGGCTCTTCAACATCATTTCCGAACGTCACTTTATCCGTGACAGTGTGGTTTAGCGTCTCTAACGAATCCGATGACACTATCAGAACTTTATTCGACGGCGCTGTCGGCAGCGGCGAGGGGGATTTACGTTTCCCAAGAAGTTTCGATACCCTGGGCGCTTCGCTAACTTTTTCGTCCGCATCTTTATTATCTACCAGCTCCCCGACCTCGTTTGAATTTAGATTCTGCAAATTGCGCAAATTATCGTCGATAAGCAGGGAGATATGTCCTAACAATTGTTAACACATAGAAGAATTTTGCACAATTTCTTGTAATTTCACATACTTCCTGCAAGGTTGTGCTGTCATCGAGTTCATTTCCAAGGTTACATAATTTTGCGTCAACAGATAAGTCTTCCTCTTTTTTTACTACGGATTGAGATTCAGTCTCGGCAGCTGTTAACACAATACATGTATAACTGCCACTAATACATGAAATGGTTTTTTTTCTAATATAACTTCATGATTATATATCTCACTTAAAGAACCTGTGATGTTTTCAAACGGTCCAGAAGTAAAATCCGGCCTGTCAGGATATTTCGCATTTGCGAACGCTGCTGCGAGAGACAAGCTGTTGGCTAACGTCGTGAATGCCGACCGCGCTTTCAATCTTGGCAAAAGAGGAATAGTCCGGCGACCTTCGATGGTCCAATCTGTACCAGTATTTGGACCATTAAGCCTGCATTAGAGTAATTTTAAATTATTCACATGACCAAATAAAACTTGTAGTGCATATGCGTGCACATGCATGCAACTGTCTGACGATGTTATATCATTATTAAGTATCATGATATATTTTCTCTTATACACATATAATTAATATTTTTTATTCGTGAGTTTTGAAAATTCAGTATTGTGCATAATACATACTGTTCAGCAATTGTTGCTAGCTTTTCATCATTTACAGCTCTCCGTACTTCGGCACGATGTCTCTCGTTGGAAATATTTAACATTTTAGCAATTTCCTGCAACAACTTCTGCTTCTCACTGGTGAAAGGACCTTGAGCACGTAAGACGGAAACTATACTTCCATAAGCATCTAATTCTGCAATATACAAAGACCACATACTATGTTAGGATATATCTTATAAAGGCAAGAAAAATGAAGAATTACTCAAGTATTGTAAATAAATATGGTTGCATAGAACATATCTAGATATATATAAAACCCAAACTTTTGTCAGTAGAACAAATCCATATTCTGATACCGATAATATAGTTAAATCATCTTATCATCTTATTAAAAAATATAATCTTAAAAAAAATATTTTTAGTTGTAAATATCTAACCTTGCATCATGCAACACAGTCACCATATATACACAATTTCATGAGACACTTGTTAAATTTAACTTATGATACATTCAAAGTATCGTATATACTCAGGATTACTTATTTTATGAAATAATATATTAAATACTCACTTTACAAAAAAATTAATCTTGTCTCACGTTAATTGCCATATTCTCGAGCAAACGTAAAAATGCAATAAGCATGCATGTATGGAATATATCAGTATGTTTATTTCGATTGAATATTAAACATGATTTCCTATTTCTGTACTTTACATATGCGATACGAAAGGAGCAGTTTGGTAATGGTAAAATGAAGACAACCTCGTTTTTAGGCTATAAGCGTGGGTATAGAAATATGGGCCCAGAACTATATCTTTACTTCCTAAATTAGCATTACCTTTAATGTTAGATGAAACTGCCTAATTTCGAGCATTATTCACCAGGCGAAAAGACGCCGATCTGCGCCAAGTTATTCAAAGGCAGACTCGCGATTCAACGCTAAATGGAAGATAAAAATGCGACTTCCATACGAAATCGTGTCCACCGTTAACATGTGCGTATCTTCGAATTTCGAGCGAATTCGAGCTTCGCTTTGCGAGAAACGCATAAAGCAGAGATTCAGTTCTTTTCGCCGCATTATACAGACACGTGGGGCAGTCTGGCATCAATTTCCTACGTAACTTTCATACGAACGTACATACAAATTAGCAAGGCGAGAACCGAGAAGCCGTTCGGCAAGCTCTGTACGCTAACAAAGCAAGCGCGATTATTCGGGCCACATAACCTTACCGAGGTATCGCAAACACTTTCTGCACTCATCACGAGTCATCTCCAACCGCAACGGCCACATGATTCCGCGACTTCTCGGCAACCGGCACGGTTCACTCCAAGAGGATGACGGAATCGACAAAGCGCGTCAGCCGCATCTTCGTCTACCCTCGATGACAGTCGAGTACGATTGACGATGAAGATATCGTGATAGTTACTCCGTTATTATCATTATTATTATCTCCCTTGGGTCGTTGATCGCCCCGACGTTGGCAGAGCTGTGTCGCGGCAGGGTACGCACATTGCGAGCAACATAAGTCCGTGTCGATGGCTTTCCGACTAGAGAATCTCGAGTTATCCCGATACATTCTCACGATGTAGATATCGATCATGTAATTTTTCCCTAGAACGGAAATGTGAAAATTCCAAATATCTTTGAATTAGAAAATTTATAGTTTTCACGATTTCACGCTGCAGGAGATTTGTAATCAAACACTAGGGAGTTCCGAATCTTCCCTTTTAGCGTGAAAAGTATAAAGGTCTGTTTTTTTTCGCTACACTAAAACTGCAGTAGAACTGCACTGAACTGAACTAAACCGCCCTGGGAAAGACTAGTACAGAATAGTTCAGTGCAAAGTGCAATGAAGAGATCTGTTCGTTTTCGCCGCACCGCTGAAACGCTAGAGTGTAGTAAACAACACGGCGCATCACACGGCATTATTTGATTCTTCTGACGAAAAGGATTTTGTTGTAATACAACCACTATTACATAGCAAATTTATTAATAATTTATAATATTATATACCCTACCGATCATAAATTTAAATAAATGACTAAATATAAAATAAATATAAAATCATAAAGTAATGTATCTTGACATCTTAAATTCATCCTTATGGTATGTTTGAACATTTCTGCTGTGTATGTATGTGTAATAGTATAATATTAACAATTTTTGAAAATGAAATAAGAAAGATGTTTCACACATTTCAATAAAATGCCAGCCACATACCTGATAGAGACTTTTCGTATTTCCGTTACGTTTACATGCACTTCCAAGCTACACTTTTATGCACTGCACTGGCCACACTACCTCCTGACTCAGTGCAACAGTTCACTGAACTGCCTGCACTACATGCTGTTGCACTGCGAAAACGAACAGCGTTGATGACGTCATGATGACGTCATTCTTGATAAAAAGAACGCTTTAGTGTAAACTTCTTGCACTGGTGTGCACTAAGTGCAGAAAGTGTTTCGAAAAAAAACAGACCTATCCCGCGCTAGGGAAAATTTACATGTCGATCACGTGCTTTCCTCCTAGGGCGGGAAAATGAAAAGTAAAATATTTTCAATTAGAGAATTTACAACTTTTCACGAATTCACGCTATAAAATAAGATTCATAATCAACTCCCCCTCCCCTAGAAAGTCATAGAAATCTTCTTAACGTAAATTCATGAAAAGATTAAATTTTTTAATCTGAAAACATTTCACTTTTCACGTTTCCCCTCTAGGGGAAAAGTTACGAGATCGATATCCCGCAAATTCATCGTCGCACAGAGGCATTCAGACATATGCGGAAAGGGTCCTGTCAGTCAGAGCGCGAACATGGCGGTCGTGGGATCGATAGGGGAGTTTGGGGATTGAATTTATCCCATGTCTCCACGTCTGCGACTCCTCGCGGGACGCGACCTCGCGATCGTCGCCGGAGAACGCGCGACACCGTCGAATGCGGCACAGAAACGAGAGAGCAGATTGTCCTGTGCGCCCGTGCGTCGCGCACCACCACCGACGCCGTTCAGCTGATCGGTGTGTGACAGGTGAAAGTGTTCCGGATAGCTGTCGAGCCGTGAAGACGCGCGGCTGACTCACCTTCAACACGATGCACCGGGCCAGATGGCTAGCTTGTGCGGAGAGTTCGGCCGTACCGAAAGTTCCTAATGTAAACCTAGGTAGTGTGTTGCGAGATAATATGTTACAATAATAGAAATCAATCCCTTCCAGAGGTAGCTCTTCCAGAGGTAGCCTTTCCTCGCAATTTTCGTCTCTCGACGTATGCCTCTTAATGTGAGAACGTTAGCTAATTGTACGTCAACTTTCTCCGATTGTAACAATTGATTTTTGTCTTTTTCAACAATAACAACAGCAAGTTCTTCTCAGGATAATGTAATTAGGTAAAAAAACTGTTTCTTCTGTAGTATAATTATTTGAAAGTCCTATATTACTAGTTTAATAATCAACGTTATTTAAGAATTATTATTTTTTATAAGTAGAAACGAGTTTCTCCCTTGGCCTGTTATAATTGTTTTGTGTCCAAGTCTCTGTCTCTATGAGGGATTGCAGTTTTCAGATTTCCCCCTTCTCCTTCATGCACGCTTTAATAGTGCTTACATAATTCTTGCTGCAGCCTGTGTCACAGCATTCACCGATGCTCATTGAGGAGAGAAGAACAGCTGTGGCTCTAATATGCACACTTGGAATTTTCTTTTCCTGCCACATATTCATAGCGGGATAATATCTAACAGTCTGTGCTCCATTGTATCCTGTTGATGAAGTTCATCAGGGGAAAACTCTTTGACGAGCACATCTGTAGCATGTATATTGGAAGCTCTCGACTCAGTGTTGCACACAGTGCCTCGTCGTCTGTGTAACGGTCTGCTGAGCCTGAAGTTTTGGGTGCGCGCCACGTTCGATACTTGTCGAGGGAGAGATCGTGTGTCCTCAACAACGGTGGTTCTAATATGGACGGTTTGCAACTCGTTCTGGTTGCCGTCGTTACGTTCATCTGCGGTGTAATATGTACCCTGGCATTGGAGTTCTACCTGTTCAAGAGGTATCTCGTCTCGGGACCTCAGGCTGCTTCGCCGCAAAGGCAGCTACACCATGGCAAGGCGCAGTTACCTAAAGAGCTAGTGGAGCAGATGCAGGAGGAACGGACGAACTGCAACAACAGCATGACACGTCAGGCGATGTCCCAGGGCAATGAGAACCTAGCCATCAATCTCACGCTGCAGTTCCTCTTCAACGAACTGCGAAACGCCGAGCGAGTGCGTCTCTGGCTTTACAGGAAGCTGAATAACGAGTTCAAGGAGCTGCTGACGCAGTCGACCACCGGCAAACTGTTGGACAGCGTAAAAGTAAGTGACTCTCGTGAGATGTGTGTGTAAACAGTAAGTTCTGGATGCGGTTTTCTCAAACAAATTCTTCGATGCTCTTGCAGTTGAGAGACTTGAACCTCGGCACGCAATTTCCCACCATCAAGGGCTTAGAGGTCGCCGACTCGAAGATTGACGCCGACACGGGTCTGCTGGAGTCTCTGGACTTGGCCTTAGATTTACATTACTCAGGAAACTTTCAATTGTCTATAGATGTTAAGATGCTGTTGGGGAAAACAGCGTATATGGCGTTGCAAGGTATCATCGCATATGCAAGACAGTGTATTAGAAAGTATATTGGAAAGAATAGGATAATGAAATCATAGGACCGTCTGAAGCCCGTATCAGATTACGGATTAGCATTGAAGTTGAATTGAAATTTGGCCAATCAGAGCAAAGTTCATTAAACTCCAATTGGTCAAATTTCAACTCAACTTCAATCCTAATCCGTAGTTTGAAACGGGCTTCATTTGGCCACGTAATTTCATTATTTTATTCTTAATAATAAATTAAATTTGAGTTTAGTGACTTTTCTTTCTTTGATTGGCCAAATTGGCAAAAACGGGCTTTACACGCGTTGTCGGTTTGTAGTGAAACGTATCAGCGGTAAAGCCAGACTGCAGTTCACCCGCGTGCCGTATACGCACTGGTCCCTGAGCTTTTACTCAGATCCGATCTTGGAGCTGGAGGTGCAGTCGCAGTTCCAAGGCCGTCAGTTGCAGCCGCAGATAATCTCGCTCATCACCAGCCAGATTAGGCGGGCGGTGAGACGGAAACATACTCTACCTCGTTACAAAATGCGCTACAAGCCGTTCTTCCGAAGATTGAACGACGAGGCCGTCGATCTCTCCGAGGTAAGCCTTGCCTGTTTTCGATTCATCGCGCGAAAATATCGTCACAGGGTCGTCCGCTCCAGAATACCTCGAGTTGTGCCTTGAATGTTCAGGTCGCCAGTACGCAGCTCACTCCGGGATACTTGGAGGTCGTGTTGCTGGAGATCAGCAGACTGAATATCGCATCTCTCATACCCAACAGCGAGGACGTCTCGCAGGTGGAGGTGTACTGCACCATGAGCGTGGATGCCACGCCGTGGGTGTACCTGACGCAGTACAGCGGCGTCCCATACATGGTGCTGGACTTGATCATCAGCAAGACCGGCTCCCAGCAGCTGGGTGTGGTGTTCAAGCAGGAGGTTGTGCCGGAGGTCGGCCAGGTGTGCGTGCTGGTGGAGACGATAGTGTCCGGCAGTCCGGCGGCGATCGCCGAGATGAGGAAAGGCGACATCCTGGTGGCGGTGGACGGCAAGAAGGTGTCGAATATGAATCAGGTGGCGAAATTCGTCAAGTCCGCCGCGCAGCGGCGCTTCATCATCCGAGTGGAGAGGCGATATTCCCGGGTGGACTCCGAGAGGCAGAGCGGCGCGAAAATGGACAGCGAAAGGACGTCTTTCACCGAGAGGAAGGCGTCCTTCGCCTCGAAGAGCGATTCCGTAAGCAAGGTAGACAGTCCGAGCGTCGAGGACGCCGGGAAGATGAAGTTCGAGACGCAGATCAAGTTCTCCGACTTACGGGACTCGGATTGCGACCTCACGGACAGCCGGCCGGACACCAGCAAGTTGTTCAGAAGAAGGAAAAGCAGCGCGCAGACGGAGGACGCCGCCCAGACGCCCGACACCACGCCGTCCCGGCGGATCTCCACCATCTCCACGTCGTCGGCGGCGTCCAGCAGCGTGCAGTTTTACCTGCCCGACGACAATTACAGCATCGCCGATTTGCACTACAACACGAGAGAAAAGCCGTACGCCTCTCTGATCATGTTCGAAGAGACCAAGAGCTTCCGGATCGACTCCGAGCTGCAATATTTAAACGTGGGGGTATGGGGACGCGTGAGAGGAGGCGAGACTTCCCCGAAGCTCCTCGGCTACATAAACGCGCCCGTCAAACTGATCCTGGCGCAATGCTGCACATCCACGACCGGGCATTACTTGAAGTGTCACGCGTTGCTGCCACCGGAAAGCGGTAAGTTCCATGGAACGTTTTTATTGATAAGCCAGATAAGAAGAATCAATATGCACAATATATTATGTTGACGCAAAAATTCGTTTCGTTCTTCAATCAGTTCGCTCAGAAATCCCAGAATTTCTACGGACACGGAATTATGCAGCTATCGGAAAGATGACAGGTCATCGAATAAAATGGCGTATATTTGATTGATTGTATTTTAAAATAAATAAATATTGTATGTATATTTTGATTGAAAGCACGGAACGAACTTTTGCATCAACTTGATATCTTCCGTATCTTCGAGATCTTATTTTGCTCGAGAGAGCTGGTTAAACACTGATTAGAATCACTCTTGAAGCTTATTTAGCGACATCCTATGTAAGACTGCAAGGCTATTCGGGATTCGACCCGACGCTCTGCTATGGCGACATTTTGCTGTCGTACGTGTGGGAGTCTTGTCGACCGAACGATCAAACGGTTAGTGATGTCGGGAAGAAGGAGAACGCGGAAACTGCCAAAATTCAACCGACACTGAACGAGGAAGTGGCCGACAGGAAGATGCATGATTTCATCAGGACGCACTTTCACCGGGCGACGCACTGTGACTTCTGCACGAAGAAGGTATGGCGTCCATTCTCTCCCCGTGTCGTGCGAATCGCTTAAGATAATATCTCTCGGTAATTTACTAGATCTAGAGATAAGTTCTTTTTTTACTAGATAATTTGCGAATTCTCTCACGATAAAAATTTGGCAAGCTCGAGGTGATATTGTATTTAAACCATATATAGTTAAATAATGTCCAGAGTGAAAAACCAGACAATATCTTAAAGTTCTTGAGATAGAATATATTTAATCGTAACAATTCTAATATATGTGAACAAACAATATTACTGTTTGAAAGATTAAATATAAAGAGAAAGTCAATTATCATTCTTCTCAGTTGTAAAGGTAATATGTTCAATCTGCCAGCTTTTATCTTACTGCAACGTCATACGAATTACTTTATGTGTAGATTTGGCTGAAAGACGCAGTGCAGTGTCGAGATTGCGGTATGGTGTGCCACAAGAAGTGCGAGGCTCGCTGCCAGGCGTCCGGCACTTGCGGCGCGGAGAGCCTGGCCACGCTAGCGCTGGAGGCCGATGAGATCGAGCCGAATGCTATCATCGGGGATATCGGCCCGGAGATCTCTCTGACCGGGTGTGAAGATAATGTACAGGTACTCAAGACGTAGAACGTTAGGCGCAACTTTCGTTTTTCGCGAGTGTAATCGGCAACGTTTCGAGTTCTCCATTGCGACGTACGATATTCACACACGGGGCAGTTTCGGATTGGAAGGAGAAAAGAAAATGAAACGTTTAGTCATTGATAGCTTTACACAATTGACACCACTTTTCGATAGAGCTTTATCGAGAGGAGAAAAAGTCAAATTCGCAATTTATATCCAGAAATCTTCGAACGAGCGAAGACATGTATATACTCGCGTTTTTTTTTAGAGCTTGCTTTAATTTATTTTTTGAGTGATATTAATTCGGACGATGTGATGTTGAATTCTCGAAGCGATTTCTTGAGTGATATTGACTTTGACGATGTGATATTGATTTCTCGAAGTGATTTCTTGAGTGATATTGATTTCTCGAAGGAGAACGTGGGTGAATTTCCGGAATTTGCCTCCCAGTCCGAGTCTGCGGATCATGCTGTGATCGAATATATTATTATTTTGTGAATTTGTGTTGATTTACACGCTGCATTGTTTATGAAAATATGCGATATTTATAAACACATCATGACGTAAACTTTATATCTTTTTGCAAGTATTCCATAATCTTATCATTTTTTAGGGATATCACACTGTTCGTTTCGTCTACCATGATTTATACATTGTCAGTTTGTGTGCTTAATATCCGTAGTTTATCGATGTAAATAAGGAGTATATTTACAATATCTAGGAAGATAAAAGAAATGCGGAATAACAACAAATTGACTTAATTACGCATTTCGAACGATGTCCGATTTAATCGATCGTTCTTATTTATTTTTATCGTTTTTATTTACCGAATTTATATACTGAAAGAATGGATTCTTTTTTTACCGTGCACTATCATTTTGATATCATGCCACTTATCAAGCACCAATCATCGATGCGATGGGATCAAAAAGATGATTATCAGTATTACATATCGATGAAATGCAGATGCGCTTGACAGCATGTCATGTGGTTAAGGGAAGAGTGTATAGCTTTCGAGAACTCGTGCGTATATCTTTAAACGCATTTATCTTGGTATTTTGTACATAGGAAGCAGATTGTTAAGCGTAACTCACATTCTGTTGTTGGCAATAAAACGAATTGAACATACGCACTTCGGGGAGGTGAAGGTTCTTTTTGTAAACTTGCACCTTGACCTTGCCTTTGTTTTTGAACAACGACGCATCACGATACGTATATCTCTCGACGTGTAGTTGTAGAACTTAAACCAATAAGTTTAATTTCCAGGGCGTCTATTGCCTGAAAAAAAAGTGGAATTCTCAAGGAAATTGTTTATGTCTGGAAAAATCAAGAAATTTTCAGAGTATTTTAAATGGGCATTTTTTTTACTAGCTATATTATCGCATTGTTCATAGACAAATACTGGTTGACTGAATTGTATTTAATAATATTTTCTCTATCAAGAGTCATAAAAAAAAAACAGTTCAAGAGTTTTTGACTCGTTTTTAATTAATTTTAATTAATAAGGAATAGCGCTATATAAACCATGCGAATTTATCAACATTATATATATACATTTAGAGTTGTTTTTAAGTTTTTATTTAATATTTAAATATTAGCACTTCTCTTATATTTATAGATTCTCTTTTGTGCTCTATATCTACGTATATAATTTAAATGTTTAATTATATCGTTTTGATGTTTAGAACACACTGATTTTACGACTAATTTAGTATTGAAGACACCAATTTCGTGTTAGCTGCAATTTTGTTTAATTAAGACAGATATTTATTTTAATAGTTTTATAGTTTTATATATTAATAATTTTATAAAAGTTGGATTTTGTACTAGTTATGCATTATATAATTTTTTGTTTGTAACTTTTGAGAATAAACTTTTGAAAATTTGAAAATTATATATAATATAAAATACTTCTTTTTTAGAGTTAGAGATGTTAATATTTATAAAATACTTCCTTATTATAGTTTCTTTCATTGAATCATTGAAACTCGAGTGATTCTTAATTTTATTTTATAATTTATACTTAGTTTTATTTTATATTTAGTTTATTAAGTTATTAAATTTATATTTAGTTTTGGAATGGAAAATATTAAGGACTTTGCACAATAAATTTCGTTTTATTTGGAATTTTTAGCAAATTGCCTGAAAAATCAGAGAATTCTCGGGGATTTTTTTTTTCGGGTTTAAATAGACACCCTGATTTCGTTTTCCGATTTCGGTTTTCCGTTTCGCAAAATCGATATTTCCATTCTCTGTAAAGTATATCATCTAGATATATGTGCGATTTCTGAGTGTTCTACCACGAGTGCTTGCCCGACGTGTTCGATATGCTTAAATTCCTAGGAAGCATCATTTCTAATATGTCTTTAAAACACTCGTTAACCCACAGATATGAAACACTTGGAAATATTGCACATTGATTCTAGATCTTATACTTTGCTTATAAAATGTGCGCATGTTGGTCACGCGAGACCAGCCTCGCGACTTCGATTCATTGTTTTTGCGGACTCATAATTTATTAGTGAATAGTGAAAAGTATTAATCTCAATTTAAAATCCATTGGTCGATTAATCAGGGCGCAAGTATGATGGCCGTGAAGGCTAGTATAGCTAACACTCTATTGGGCCTGAAGAAGGCTGGAAGTACCAGTTGCCTGGCCCCACCGGCTTCCGGTATCGGTCTGGCATCTCGAAGTCTTCCCCCAAGTCCCTGTGCATCCCGCAAGGTAGAACTTAATAACACACGTTTGTTTCTCCGAAGCGGAGAAGGGTCGCGTGCGCTCGACTTTGAATCAGATTCTTCTTTCAATTAGATGTAAAACAATTAGATGTATATTGACGATTTTAATACAACACGTACGAAAATATTGATGAAAGAGTTTAAGGCAATTCGATTTATTATTAATATAGATTTAACTGCAATCGTTTTTCCTGCGAAAATTAAAAGTGAAAGATAAGCGAATATCTTGCTTTAAGTGCATCTTTCAGTCTGCAGATCTCAAACAGCCAAACATTTGCGGCAGAACTGCAGTCGGTGAAGATTGACAATTTTCCAGTTGTATAATTATCGCAGTTTTGCCATGAGAGTGCATCAGACCTTCTCCGCTTCATCCTTTTCCGCTACACCTTCTCGAATCGGAACGAAAGGAACGGATGTGCTCTCTGGAAGAGGGTTTGATCGGTACCGTGCAGTTTCCATGCTTGAGCCGTTTCATTCGCTTCGACCATTCCTCCATCAGTCACTTCTTAGATTCGCCGTCGAAGGTACTCGGTAATTCGCACGCAGGAATGTAAGATACAGCGATTGACGACGATCGCACAGCGTAGCAATGATGATATGTAGATGACGGAACTTGAGGCAATTTCGAGGATTCCTTAGAGATCATCCGCTCGCAAATTACAAATCGCCGAACACCTCGATTTCTCCCGTCTTTTGATCCTCGGATCCCTCGACGTTCGGCGACGAGTCGACCTCTCAATGATTTCTATCATTTTCCGAAATTGCTGCAAGTTTTTCCTTTTTTTTAATATTTTTTTCTCCTTTTTTTTCATCGACGAGGATCTTCATCGTACGATGAGCGCGATCACGGCACTGATTGCATTTGTAACTGCACTTTGACGCTGAAGCCAAGCTTGCACACGATGATCATTGTAGATGCAGCAAACACGTCATCACGACTCACACACGTAATCGGTGCAACCGCTTCATCACGTTACACGTTTGCGAAAAATCAGCGTAACATCTAGCGAGGAGCGCTGTTCTCTCTCTCTCTCTCTCTCTCTCTCTCTCGCTCGCTCTCGCTCTTTAGGAAGCCCGTCACTGAGATCGTCCCGCATTAATCAATCTGATCACATTGTTGAAACATTTAGAGTTCATTGGCCGGAGGTCTGGGAATAAGTCCTGACCTCTTGGAGGGTGCTGAGCCAAGTGTTGCAGCTCCACTTATGGCCGGCGACCTTGACGACGGTCTTATGTCGAGGGCGAAGGACACCGGCAAGTTCTTGTACAAGTACTTGGAGCCGCAAGAGCGTGTGGAGAAGATCAATGCTATGGTATGTGAACGTTTTTCATTCTTCGATAATTTATTATCAGGAAAGAAAGATTCCTGTACCTTAAAATTAACAATTACGAAATAACGCGACTCCCTAAACTTCCTGATGCACTGAACCAATTTAAATATATATTTCCTATTTAACTTCTAAACTAATTATTAAAGTTATACTAGTAAACTAATCAATCAATTTCTTTTCTAACGCAGATGAGCAGGTTGAAAAACGCGCTGGACGCCGAAACTACCTCAAGATTAGAACTGTCGCAGCACGGAGACGCGGACAGCATGAAGCTGATCGCGCAGAGCGACCTGCGGGTGCAGGCGTTGAGCGTCCTGCTCCTGCATTACTGCGCCGGCCTGCAGCACGCGCAGGAGGCGGTGGACCGACCGGAAGCCAGCAATGAATCTTAACAGGAACGCGTCCGATAAGCTGCAACTTAAAACAACCGAGAGAGGCATTCTGAGAGAAAAAAGAACAGAGAACGCGGAAAATGTAGCGATATTCGATAATGGAATAATTATCGTTCGCTTTTACTATTTCTGTTGGCAAATCGGCCGCGATCGAGTCGCGTCGACGCGACCTTGCGGCTTTGTAACGCTGATGTATTTACCGTTTGACATTGTTATATTGCAATATCGTTACCGAGTCACGTGAAACGCCGCACGGAGATATTTATTATATTGTTGACGCACAGAAATAGGGAACAAGTATCTCTATCAGCATTTATAGACATTCCGTTATGTAAACGCCGGAACTCTGTGTCTATACTTGAATAATCTCCTATTTATATACATACTTATATACGTAGTTACTCGTTTTCTCCTTTTCGTCACTTACTGTATAATACTTTAGAATATTTTAGCAGAACACTTTATACGGGGTGTTTCATAATATGTGGACATAACATGTGGGCATAATTTCAGAAATGAATTCACGAAACAAAAATAACACAAAAAGTCCATACAAACATTTGTCCTATCTGACTTTGTTTCCGAGTTACACACGTTTTCGTATTTCGCTAATTCCCAAATTACGAACTGAGCTAACGTAGCGTCTTTAGGTATTTCTGCCTTTGATGGAAATGCTCAAAGTGACCACACTTTGGGATTGAAGATAAGCTTCTAAACGTCTTGTCATTGATCTTCTAATACTCGAATATTCCGGGTGTTCGGATTCACTGATAACCTTTTTCAATGGCGGAATACATCAACATTGTCTGCCGTATTGTAAACCATAGATTTTAAATGATTCCATATGTAAAAATTCGGTGGATTTAAGTCTGGCGATTTAACAAAGTCAACAAAAAAAAGAACAAAAATTAATGAAATATGGAAATGTTACTTAGAAACAAAGTCAGATAGAATAAATATTTGTATGAACTTTTTGTTATTTTTGTGACCTGGCATTATTTCTGAAATTATGCCCACATGTTATGGAACATTCTATATATACTTGTGTAATATATTATAACGTTATATAACGTTACATTTTCCAAAATCAGGTTTTGAGAGATATGGCATTATGAAGATTACATATACATATGATTATAAGGTTACAGAGAGCAACGTAAGGGATAAGATAAAATATTATACGCCATAGTTGTTCTCCAAAGTATATTCTACATTAGTCAATTGAACGAATTTTAACGTTATTCATATGAATGTCGGATAGACGATATATAGTTGTCGATTCATTCGATCGGTTCGATTTTCAACCCTGTAACCTGTGGTCAATCTTCAGCGGGAAACGGTGCGGGTGAAGTTTTGCACTTTTTCCTCCTCAGAAGGCTTCGAATAACCTTCTGTCTCGTTTAATTTACAGAATTTGATATAAGCAATTATCGTCGGATTTTTCACAGTCAATATAATTCATAGTCTATATTTCCAGGATGAACTTGAGAGGATTTTTGGAAGAGCTAATTCCTCGATTGATATTTCCTCGCACTTTACAGGGTTAGTCGAAATTTTTCGTGTATGTGTGTGTGCATTTTGCGCACGTATACGTCAATACATAAAGATTCCATGTACGTTAAGGCTTCTAGTAATTTTTATTCGATTCACGTGTTGCAATTCCGAGTACGTAATTCATGCGTAGCTAGATAATACTCAAAGACGTTGCCGTGATGAGACATCGTTCACCAAGAGAAAACACCAAACTCGTTGAGACTAGTATTGATAGATATAAATTATACGCGTAATATAATCATACGCAGCAATGGACGCTTTCGTTTGCAAAAGGACGCGCGCGCTATCTACAAAGCTTTCCATAAAAGCAACGCACTTGACGCGTATATAGGTACTTTTTGTCTAAAAATAATCTTACTGCGGTATGTTGCGGTGTACCGCGGTGATTCGCGAAAATCTCAGGATACGAGAGCGGAGGAACAGCTTGTTATTCGCCTGCGAATTTTTGTGGAACGATTTGTAGATCGTGACGACGATCCGTGACGATGCGATCACAAAGAATGATCTGTATCGGACAAATGTTAAATACGCGTTATATTGCATCTCCTCTCGAAACTACGTGTGATAAATGAGCATTCAGCGCGTTTGCCGATAGTATTTTCAGACCTCACGTTTTATTCTTCTGGCGAAGCCACCTTGGTGCGTATTCACGCCTCCATTTAACCCTTTCAGTGTCTTTATTATTAAAAGGGAACGTGTATCCGTGAGTCGTTTCTATACTTTCAAGAATACTCGGGAAATTCTCCCTGGACCACTCGAGATCTCGACTGACCAGTAGTGGCACGAGACACAACTGGCAGGACTGATTTTGATACGTGCATTGATTTCTTTCCTACGCAAATTACGTAACGTTCTTCTGTTTGTAATATTTATCTGCCAAACAATTCGCCGTTGAATTACAATCACACGAGGAATGTCTTGATCTTAAAGGCATCTCTCGTGCTACAAGATGCGACCACGACGTGTCTTTTCTTTCATTACACTCAAGAGTCGCAGAGATGGTGCCAAACTTATAAAATAATAACGAACTCATGATTCAGAACATATCCATGTGCATCGGAACGACAAATCACCGAGAGTAACGTTAAATTAAGTATTACAATCGCATGTTACATATATGTGCGAAGCAAACGTACGTTTACGATACTGAGGAGGCTGGAAGCGAAAGGGTCAACGCTGCATTTAACGGCTGCATGGCCGTCCGTTTCCTCTACATTTGCCTAAAATTACAGTTCGAGCGTGTCAACGGACGGCCGCATCCCACGTTAAATGCTAAATGCAGTGTGAATACAGGCCTCCGATTGTTCAATCTATAATCAAAGAATTTTACCGCTTTGGCCTAACGCGAACAATATCGACGACCGCAACCAGCGTTGAAAGGAAAACCAATCCATACGCGAATTCGCGACGGACTTCTCAATCGTTTCACGCATTCGATAGACGAACGAGACAGCTCTCGTATTAGCGAAATCCATCCACAGGCAGTTCCGCGTGACCGTAATTTAAGATGTTGTGCGTCTCGCGATTGCGAATCAATGTATTGTCGCTCATTGTTAATACGTATACACATATAAAAGGAATATAAAGGTGGATATATAGATTGTTAAACGAGCATCATATTCGATCTCGCACTATTTACAGTACGCTATGGTGTGTATCTTCCATCCGCGATCCTTTCGGCTTGCTTAGCAATTTAGGTGGACTCTGTAGGTCCATGTTCAGTTTTCGGATTAAAAATCGATTACGTATAAAATGCGAATAGTTCTCCCTTCCCGGAGATTTTAAGTCGCTTTAAGTTATCGCCTTTAGACAGATCGTATATCACGTGTCACACATAATTAAATATTACAACACAACATAAATTTCGATAATAATTCCGGCATAATCCAGCATTACAAATTTTTGTGATAATTTTTACTACATTTTCCCCGTGCAGAAGTAAGATATGAGATGAAAAAGGTCTTGAGAGAGTTTTATTCTCCCAGGTTCCATGTGTTTCCGTTTGACAGACGCACTTCGCGCTCATGACGGGTTGCGCTTTTCCAAACGCTTGCCCGAGGTTTTTATAACTTTGTTTTTTGATTCATCCTCGTATAAAGGCGCACATGATACAAGGACCGGGAAGGTTGTTAAAGAGATGCGCAAAAGTCGCAATAAAAGTCACCGACGGACGGGCCACGTTGTCGAGTCGTGTTGCTCGCGCCGGGGAAATTCCGCGATGAAAAATAGACATCCGCGAAAATCGAGGTCGCACGCGTCATAAGCGCGTCCGACGTTTCCGTCGCGCATTCGTACATGTGTGTGTGTGTGTGTGTGTGTGTGTTTGCGAAAAACAGCCGGATTGACCCGCGCCCAACGAGACTCGCACGTGCCACATGCAATTGCATTTTTCCCGAGATCCTGAGACTCCTTTGGCTTCCTATTTTCGCGTCGTACTGGAAAGAGGAATCAAACGATTCAGAAACAATCAGTTCGATCGCGAAGGGGATTCGAGAGGAAGCGTCGATTTTATCAAATGATAAGTCACTGAAGTTTCCAAGGGGGAAACTCGAGGATCGATGAGACGTCGAAGGGTCTGCGAATCCGCTGACGCTCGCGTGCGGGCGATTTCTGGTAAACACGAAGACTGATGGCGCAGTAGACGGAACGTGGTCGCGTGTACAAAGAACGGACGTTAACGACGATCTCTATCTCTCTCTCTCTCTCTCTTTCTTTCTTTTCGCAGGGCCAACGTTCGCTGCTTGACGAGGGTGCGAGCCAGAGTATCCCTCCGACGTTACCTCCTGACCGCTGCTCTCCGTCGAAGAGAGAGAAAACGCGACGATGGACGGCGCGGACGGGAACGGAAGTCGGCCGGTCGGCGCAGAGATCCGCGGAGACGCGCTTCCTTCTGCGCGTGCCGGTAGTTTGTAGCGTCTTAAATAAAGTGTGTTTATATTCGCGAATGCAAGTTTATTTCGGCGCGGTGGACAGACCGCTCGTAATTTAACGCGCGCACGCAGAAGTCGAGGCACACTCAGTAGCGATTTCAGCGCAGATTCGGGATTCACCGGGAGGACGAAGGACCCGAAGTCGTGCAGATGCGAAGACCAGGGTAGAGAGAGAAGATTTATATGCGACAGGATCGAGGAATCTGAAAAAACGTGGGATGGCCGTTGAGAGCACGTGATTTAAAGTCACAAGGACCAGCGAGAGCGCCTTCCCAAGGATTTGGGAATATCAGGATGTGCATATGTAAGAATGTAGGAATCGAAGGAAGACGAAGCCCCTCGGGTCCTGGGAAGGTCCCGAGGGATCTCCTTAGCACTTCGCACGTATCACTACGGAGCAATACTCGCATCCTTGGATCCGCGTATCCATTGGGATTCTCCTCCCTCCCTCCCTCTTTCTCTCCCCCTCTCCCTCCCTCCCACCCTCTATCATTCTCTCTCTTTCTCGCCTTTGGTATTCATCGTTTCGTCCTACGTCGTACGCGAAAACGACGAAAGAGAAGAAGTCATGGGGGATTTTGGCCCGCGGCTGTCTATTTTCGTTGGCGAGATGCACGCGCAGTATCCTCTGGCCGACGGCCAAACATACCGTAGCACCGTATAAACATTTTATCCCTGTTGGGGCACTAAGCTTTTCACAATGAATGGAGAGCAAAGTCCTCTGAAGAAAAAGAAGCGCCGGCGGCCGCAGAAACGCCGGTGCGAGACTCGTTTGCGAGAGAGAGGGAGAGAAAAAGAGTCTCTCGCGATCTCTCTCTCTCTCTCTCTCTCGTCTCGTATTTTCGTACGAAAACGCGCAATTCCGATCGTACAATAAAACTCGAGGAAAAATCGGCGAGTCGCGCGCTTTGTCCGCGAGCCGCGTTTTTGGCAATTTTGCAAATTCGTCCAGACACTCGCGCGCACGGCGCGCTGATGCGCTATTACGGCGAAATAATGACGCACCGCCTGTGCGCCACGCTCTTCCAAATATTATTGCCGTAAATTGCGCATAGTAAACTAAATGGCACGTGATACAAGCCGGCAAGCATTTCTGTTGCGCGTCTTCAAGCTTTCCGCGAATCAACCGCTCGGCAAGAATCACCGAGCGATATCGTCATCAACAGCAAATGCTGGATATATATTTGTCTTTTTTTCTTGTAAGAGATAACAATCATATTACTGGTTCTCTGACACGTATAAAATTAATTTAAGAAATCGTAACGTGAGACGACGGAAAAAAAACCGTGTTTTTTACGCGCGACAGAGAAACATGGAATGACGCAGTGGGCAGTTTGCCGGCGTAACGCAATTTACAGTATTATCGGCCTTCGTTTTATGTACGTCAATTTTGAATGAACGTATTTCATGGACACACGGCGAAACCGGATGTATATATCTCTCGTGTACAAATACGTTTCCGTATTTATTTTTTATTCGGAATCAGTGTTATTTATCACGATTCACGATTGTTTTAACGAAATTTTTGTAAAAGATATTTTTATATAGTTTTATGCGCGATAATTGCACCGAATATTTCACTAGATACTAAATATAACTTGCATGTTCAACGAGCATCCGTAATGGTGACTTTTTAACGACATATAAATTACAGTTCTCCGAAGAACGAAGAAGTGTACGACGCGGAGGAAGAGTTATATTTTCTGCGGACAGCTTCTTTGTCCAAAGAACTGCGCAGCCCCGAAAAGCTTGATGCGCGTCAAAGCTGACATTGGGGGCTTTTTCGTTCCAATGTACGATTTTGATGACCCTGCTTCGCGAAGGGGCTACATCGAGGTGAATCATACCCCGAAAAATGAAAATTGGATCTGTAAAATTTTTTCATCGTTCATGCTCGAGTATTAAATTTTTTGAATCCTTTATACGTTTGAATTCTAAGTTTTTAAAATACTTTATACATTTGATATACATGATATACATGATATACATTTGATATACATGATATACATACTTTGATATACAATTACTTTTCCTACATCAAAATTAGCTCTTAATATAATCCCTCGATAATTTAAAGAGATTAAAAATTTCTTCAGATTATTAACTCTCCGTGTGATTCGCTGTTTTCCGCTAACGCTATATGATTCATAGGTCATTTATGTATAGAACCAATTTTTTGCTATACATAAGTAAAAAATCACAAAAAAATGTTTTGACATTATTTTAGGTCTCTACTTTCTGTTGTAAACATTGTTTAATCTTCAATGTTTATGACTCTTTTCTTTAGGAAAACACAGATGGAAACAATTTTTTTACTTAAAAAAAAAATTCATAACTTTTAAATGCGTTGAACGAAAAGCAAATCTTTGTAAATTTAAGTTCCTGAAAGATATATCCTTTATAAAAAACGGTTTAGCGATGTCCGCTAAAAAAAAAACAGAATTATTTGAAAAATAACAATTGTCACTTTTCAGGCACCGAAATAAAGCGGTATTTGAACGAAATACCAAATGAATTTAACTTTTGAAAAATACTCCTTATCTTGAATGAAATAAACATAAATAATAATAATAATAATAATGAATTAGAAATATAAGCTAACAATAAATTAAAATAAAATAACAGTAGTTTAAGAAATAAGAAATTCAATTGTCACATTAATAAATACATTACGTTCATAAATATGTTATATTATGAAAAACAGTACTCATACTTACATTAGAAAAAGGAAAGCTGTAATATTACTTTCGCTAATGCCGTATGATTCGTGGATCATTTCGGGAACACTCGTGACTCTATGTGTTCTCAATTTCTCAGTAAAGTGACTGAGAAAGAGAACTGCTGCGCATGAATATATACTTTCCTTATTTATTTTCTCAAACGGAAATTTCAGGCCTCACTCTTAATTCAATCAAACTTTACAGTCAAATCAAATTTTTACTGTTCCCCAAATAACCCACAAATCACAGTCAGGATTGAAGAAAATAGTCAAGATGTCAAAGATGTCCCGAAAAAAATTAGAAAAAAAAGCCTCCATCGGAAATACATCTTAACAATTTTCAGTTCATATCGTCGAAATGTTTTCTTCAGGTTCGAAGAAACACAATTCTAACGCGAAAATTTTATCGGCTCTAAGAAGTCCTGAGACAGCGGCGAAACATTGTCGACATTGAGTTTGGCGAACTGCACAGATCTCCGCGGTTTTCGATCGACGATTTTTAATTGACAATCCGTCTTCTAACATCTAAACAAAAGCGGTGAAGAAATCGCGAGCGTTAAAGCGGCAGGAAAGCCTTGGCGCGAAGCTAAAGCGACTCTAACGCGGAAATCTCGACGTCGAATTTGACAGATCGCACGTCGCGCCGTATACACCTGGTCGCAGTTGTTTTCAAACAAAGAGAGGGAGAGTACATACACACAAAGTAGTCAGCTGATCCGAGACGCTTCCCTCATGTGGGTGGGGGAAATGGCGAAGGCTTAAATAGCACCGCATGTACTCTTGCATTCTAGTGCCAGACGGAGTTACCTGAAACGAGCCTCGGTGGTTGAGCCGTAGTGGTCCTCAGATACGTCGAGATACCGACGAGCTGTCACTCGCAAGACTTTTGTCCCTCGACCGATTCGCGCAGGAAGTCGACCGCAGGATTTGCGAAGTTCATCCGCGAAGATCCGTCGAGATTCGCGTTACTCGATTGATCCAGATCGACGACGTTTCCTTCGATCGACGTGGATTTTGTCACCCTGGCGAAGTCGCATAAACATCACGGAGGACCATTGGTGTCCTGGTGAACGTTGAAGAGGTCGAAGACCGGCGATTCTTGGAGCTTTTTGGATGATATTCCAATAGGAGAACGCGTCGTTCTTTATTTGGGTCTTGATACGAGATCCAATTTGTGTCAGTCGGACTTACTCCCTAGCGTAATCTTCTAGAGAAGGACATACTCCAAGGATTCTATATACATATGCGATACGTGAACTTATCGTGTGCTGATCTTGGATCCTTGTGACTCATCACCGAGCTAATTACCTAGTTGATAAATATTGTTAACGCAAAACGACCAATTGCTCGTTTCATATAAAATTCTAACGACGCAGAGAAATCAAGGGGAGATAAATACATCATAAAAATTATATTAAATACTTTATAATTGAAATATTTAATATTCCGCAAGGACACAATAGTTCTTCGACGAATGTGCGAAAATCGGCGCTGATTTCCGACGAACTTGCACTCGAACGGCGCAATTGTTGAGCGTAAACTTTAAATCTATCGTTATAAGGAGAAGTGCGGAGAGAAAGAATCATCATGAGGCCGCCCGCGTGCAACACCGAGCAGCAGATCTCACAGGAGCAGGGCGAGAGAAATGTCGCGATGGCGGTCTGCGTGCAACTAGCTGGCCGCGCGATCATCAGGGTAATCGCGCGATGCGAGGAGGCCCAGGATAATTGTAATCTAGGTGAGTCAAGGGAAGCACCCTAAATTTTCGAAACTGCTCTCAAACGTCCAAGCGAGGGTCAGGAACTCTGCAATGTCTCCTTAAATTTCAAAAATGTAATTTCGAATTAATTTTCAAACAATTTCTGGAAATGCTTAAAAATTCTAAATTATTGAAATTTCCATTAGATGTTTGAAAGACGTCTGATCCTTCGAGGCATCCTTTGAATTTGTCATCACGAGTTTGATATCCTGGAATACATAATTGTCAATTTCGCAAATATGTTTGATACGATGAGCGTGGAAAGATCTTCGGCTTGGCAGATTTCCAATATTGTAAATTCAACGGCGTCTAATTAAAGTCACCTATAAAATGCAGGCGATTGCTTTTAACGAGGAAGCGAAGCTTGTAAACGCCATATATGCACTATGCTCGTGGTACTTCCTGATTCGAGATGACTTCCACCCTTACCTTATCCGTATAGTCGTGTACACGTACGACCTTGATGGCCATCGCTTTTGCTACTCTTAATGCGCTAGTACTTCTATATTTCACTTTTCATCAGACCGTATAATCTCGCATGGACTATAATTTCATTCTCATAAAACATTAAAAATAATCGATCCGGGCGTAAAATCTTTCGCATTATAAATTAGTCATGAGTTCCGCAAAACGCGTATAAACATTTACAGATCCTATCTTGAACTCAAAACTTTGCCATAATTCCGAGAAATCCAAAGTCTGCGACTCGAATTTGGATGAAAATCAAGAACTGAAAATTTATAGTAAATGTCGATGGTACATTAAGAATCTCCTGATCAGATTGAAATGTGCAGAAGCTCTATGACGGATCAAACATTACGAAGCAAAGATTTACGTTGTGTAAATCAATTAACAAATTGTGCGGTAGTAAAGAGGTTTGCATATATACAGCGATATAAAAATCGCGATAGCAAAATCACAATAATCCTCTTCTACGTATTCTCGTCTATCTTATCTGATATATTAGCGCGATATCGATGACTAAGTCCGCGTTGTACGCGGCTAACGAACTTTCCTGCACCTTCTATCAGATTCGAAATACGCATTCTCTCGCCAACAATGTTGCGTGCGTTTTTTTCAGTGAAGAAAGAAAAGGAGGGAGCGGACAAACGACGATTAAAAGTGTATTTGTAATTGTCGCGAGAGGAAGAGAAAGAGATCTTATATCGCGATCTTCCGTTAAGGCTCAACGAAAAAAGTTGCAGTGTAATTTTGTAGAAAGTACGAATCACGCATCCGTCGCGTTAAATTGATCATATGACAGACGGAGAACATTTCCGTGCTGTTTCGTAACCGCGATGTTGATCCTAGTCATGATAGAACTCGGTCAAATTCACGGAGAAAGGTAAATTAACAAAACAATCGTTTCATAATGAGAAGTAGAAATTGACGTAATTAATTAACTGAAAATTTGCTAAGAGCGGGCGTACAATGTTCGCCGCCCGGTTAGAGCCGTGTTAGAAAATTCTGTTACGTATTGATAATTCAAATAAGACGAAGCTCCGGAGACGGCGATGATGACGAATTGAACGACGGGAACGGATAAATAAAGCACTGGGTGGCGTTTCTCGTGCATCAGCGTGGATAAAAGTGAAATGCTCGCTTCGACCATACTTCAGCATAGATAATTGACTGGATAAACATTGCGTTATACAACGCGCATCCGGTCTTTGTCTCTTTCTATCTCTCTTGCGCGAGAGTCACTCGCGAGGAACACGTAGCAGTCGCGCGCGTACATCGCGGGACACCCGGTACGCGCGAAAGGTCGATCTCGGAATAGTAAAGCGGAGCCTTGGCAATGCTGATCTACGCCATTGCGAATGCCGCCGAGAGGCTGTTCCTCCTTTATGAATCTTTTTATTGCACGCCCGCATGTAGTAAACGCGATAGGTGTGCGCTGCGGCCGAAACGCGGCGGACTAAAAATCGCGATGCAGCCTCCGCGATCTCCGGCCACTACCAGATCTCTTCTTCCCTCTCTTGGTCCTAATCCAAATTCGAAAATCACCGGTTTCCAACTCCACCGGAACTGCTGACATAGTCCAGAGATTTGCGCACGTCGGTGAAGCTATAGCGGCGCATCACCTCTTCGCTAAATTTGTACCAGTCAGCTGAGCGTTGCTCGCGAGAATTAAATATCAAGTCCACGGTTAAAAAAAGACCGGTATTTTTCAATTTTTCGCAGGTTTCTTCGGTTTCTTTTTCCCCCAAGTAATATACATTTCTTCATGATTTATTCGGTTGTAATTCTTTGAAGATAATATGTTATTGCTTAACATATAATTAACTTTATTTAACATCAGTTAAGTGCACGTGATTATTTTCTATACGAAAAGAAGTAAATATGTTGGGTTTTAACCGAACACGCGCGAATTTTTCTAAACGAATTTTTCTATCCTTGGAAAGAAAACCGAAAAAATCCGCGGAAAAATAAAATATCGGTTTTTTCGGAGCCTTCAAAACTATAATGAAGATTAATTCAACATAAAAAATTGAAAACTGAAAATTGAATTCTTCGTTCTTTTATCTGGAAACAGTGCCGATAAGAATTTCAAATCGAAGATCGACTACCACGTTGGATCCAAATGTAATTTTAATTACGATATGAAATCAATTAAACGTTGGAGGTCAAAATTACCCAAGATTAGATATTAATCGAAATAAGCTGATTTCATTGAACTATTTCTTTGTTAAACCCTGGTTGTTGCTCCAGATACAATAAACACAGCTTCATCTCGACGTGTGTTAGAATTAAGGCCGAAAACGTGCATCGCGTACGGGAAAGATTCGCGAATCCGAAAAACGCAGGAACTTTCCAGTGCGAAACGCACAGACGCGTCTACGATGCGAGGAGTTTCCGTATAAAGGCAGCGCGACCTTAAATGGCAGCTTGCTATCGGGCCTCTTTTACCACTTTGTAGAGAAAAAACGACCGCGCGCCAGCGCTAACCAGCGCGGTCGCTGCGATGTTCGTCGAGAAACAGTGGGAAATAATTATGAAATCGCGAAACTAAAGTTTCAGTCGGCTGGGGGAAATTGTCAAGCATTTACGAAAAAAATGTAACACGTCGAGCCTTCCGGTTTCCGCAACTAGCGCGATTATATGGCGCGTGAACGTCAACGGTTACGTCGCGGCAGGTTCTCGCGTTTTCTCGATTTTCCTCGCGTGTTCCGCCGATTTTCTCGTGTTTACGAGAAGAGCGCGATGAAAATCACGGCCGCCGCGAGGTCGCGCGATTTATTTCGGAGAGTACGCGCGCGGAAATAAATGTTTCGAGCGCAGTTGGATCGCTCGGTGAGTCAGTGCGACGGCAACATGGCGCACGCGGTGACGAGAGTGGTTCTGCGCTGCGAAGAGGCGCAGGAGACCGAGAATCTCGGTAAAATATCGCAGAATTCGGTGAAAGCGCTCAGCGGTGCGTGATCGTCCGCGCACGATTCCGCGCGACTTATCTCGCTCGGTGCTTTCGAGATTCGACGGAGAGGCGATTGTATCAATCCGGCGCGGCGAATCCGTCGCGAATTTCGGGCTTTCCACGTGCTTTCGTAACTCACGTCGCGCTGATGCGCGACCACGTAGCGGGAATTATGAAAGTGCGAGAGCGACACGCCGCGATACTCGTGTCCGGAGGAATTCGATCGCACGATCGTACAGTTGATACGTACACAGAGGAAAAGATTGCTTCGGATTTGATAAAATTTATTCAATTGAAATAAATTTGTCTTTTGGAATGGAGCAAACGATTTAACTTTCTAATGGCAAGATGGACTTTCGGAACATCAAAGCGTTTTTCAAAGTGTTTTGCTGCAATTATTTAAAGTCAGTTAATACTAATTTTATTGTATTATTTTATCTATAAATAAATAGAGAAAGAAATTTCATGCTATCATTTATTTCTTTTACACATTTTGCACATTAATTAGATAAAAAGTGAACAAAACAGAGCATGGAGCCAGATCCGACCTTAACCTTACCATTAAAAGGTTAACAAACAGGATTGTTTGATTTCTCAAATAAATATCTTTACATCAAATAATGTATTTCTTTTTTGTATTTTCATCCAAACATTACAATATTTAATATATAATGAAATTGATTTTTTTTTTGTTATAAACCAAATATATCCTCTAAATATCACTGTTTTTTTCTATCAAACAGCAACATATTTTAATGAAATAACAATATTTTCATTCAAGCAAAATGATATTTGATATTAAATTGTGCTGCTTAACAAACCCAAGTCAAACAAACACGTATATTAAATCCAAGGAGATCATTTCCTCTGAGTACACTTTGGATTTGCAATTCATCGTCGCTTCCGCGCCACGCGAGATAATTTCTCACTCCCTGTTGTGTCGCGAACTAAATCACGTGCTAGATTTCATTAGCAGCGCGAAGAACGCGAGAGATACGAGAAAGATTAGTTCCTCATCCGCTAGTTTAGTTTATAAGCTTGTTTGATTTGATTGATTGTAAAGATTCGACAGATCCAACGTTTATGCGCCGAGTTACTGCACAACGCGCTTAAGAATTCCAGTATTCATTATTCTCCCGGAACTGCACGCTCCGTCGTTATAACGATCGCGATGATCGATAAATATATAACGCGGAATACGTTTGTTCCATAACGCGCTCGCGGCTCCCGCTTCAAGTTGACGTCAGCGTCGGCGGTCTTCCGTGCTGGAAACCGCGCCGGAGAAAGCGTGAAACTCGTACCGACGTTAAGTGCACTTTCAGCCATTATGATGTACCTAGACTGGCGTATTTCCATTTTTGTTGAGTAACGAAAAAACTTTTGAGGAAACAAATCGCCGAGCGTTCGTAACTAAATACGTATACTCGCGGTGTACATGTCCGCGACGGCAGAGTCTCTATCTTTCCGAGTTTCACAATCTGCGGGATTCAATTATTAAGATACGTGTTGTTGAGTATTACGAAATCGCGGTAAACCGTTTGAGAAAAATGTCAATGCCTCAAATCACAGTGCTTCGCACGTGCATTCCCGAGTTCAGATTTTATTATGTCTACTTAATTCTACATTAAGTCTCCAAATGGAGGAAACGGCAATAGCATCAATGGAATACAATAAGCGCTCCTTTGATGCTACAAATGGGAGTTGAGCTCTGCCGAATCGAAATTTTAGTTCTGCCTAGTATTAATGCATTTTCATTGAAACAATACCGCGTAGGAAATAGACAAGGATTTGATAAAATTTTACTCAGGGGTACTTCTAGGCCAAAATTGCCCATTTCATGAGCAGCAAGCTCGTTTATTAAATTGAATAATATTTTTGTGCATTTATTGTTTTATTTTCGTAATTTTTAGTAAATAGGTGCAGATTTTTCGCATCTTCAGATTGTGCGTAGTAACTATAGGAAAAGCGTTATACCTTTGGAATCTCAAGTAGTTTTATTCCTCAGTTACTAGATAGATTAATAAACTGTCCATCAAAAAATGTATGAAATTTCTACCGAAATTTCCATTTGTAATATTAAAGAAACACAATAGTGCCTCGTTGGAAACTTAATATAGAAGTAAGATTTCGATTCGAGTTGCTACCATTTCTTATATTTTTTAGGAAATTGTATGTTCTGCTATTTTATGTCTTAGACCTGTCGGAGTGCCAGCTCATGCAGATCCCGGACGCGGTCTACCATTTAATGCGACACACGGAACTGAAAAGATGCGATCTTTCCGGAAACGTGATCACGAAGATCCCGGCGAAATTCGCCGTCAAGTTCTCGCTGATTACCGGTGAGCGATAAACTGTATTGTGCGCGAATATAAGATACTTCCGAGTTAACGTCCGTCTGTTTTATCCTAACGTATCATAACGTATCTCGCCATTCACGGCTTTTCGAAATAGATTCTCTCTCTCTCTTTCTTTCTTTCTCGAACGTCGTTATTTAGTCGCATCACTTCTTTATCACGTCGCATTTCACGCGTGTCATTGTGTGTTGTCGTTTGCAGAACTGAATTTGAGTCACAACCAAATGAGCAAGCTACCCGAGGAACTCGCCGAGCTGCAGGCTTTGGAACGACTCGACATCTCGCACAACACTTTCATCGCTCTACCACCTGTTGTCTGGCGGATGCCGCAGCTCAAACGACTCCTGGCCAACAACAATTTTATCATCGGTCAGTATCGATCAACTTGTCGTTACGTAAGGCACTTTTAGCACTGATCAGCCGCCAACACGCGGTTGCGGCACGGAGTACAGGTGTCACAGAGACGACGTAATGCACCACGATTGTGATCGCAATCCAAACATAACGACATTATCGATTTCAACCGAGATGATCGTATGACTGTAAAAACGGATTGGGTCAGTCAAAAAGTCTGGCACGATTTCTAAAGACAATTTTTCCATTGCATTCAATGAAAGCAGGTTATTTATCAACCAAGCAATCGTTATTTGTGATCCTTCGCCAACGTTATAGCTGCAGAAAATCATCAGTATCGTTGTCTGCACAGAGAAAAAGGTTTCTTTGAATTTAGTACACGTGTTTGTTTAGTACAAACATAATTTAATATCAAATATCATTGTTTGAACAAAAATGTCGTTTGATTAAAGTGAACAATATTTTGTTTGATTAAAAAAGCAGTATTATTTAGAGAAAATGATCTTTCGTTTTCAATTTAAGAAATTCATTTCATTACATGTTAAATATTGTTCTGTTGAAACAAAGAAGTTATTTAATATTTTTTTAACATATGCTATTTCTTTCAAATAATTTATTGCTTGTAACAACTATTGTAACGTTTGGATGAAAATATAAAAAAAAAGTTATTTGATTTAAAGATATTTATTGTTTAAAAAATTGAATAATCCTATTTATTGAATCAAATATTCGTTTGTTCGCTTTATGCCAAAAGACAAATTTGTTTCAACGAAAGAAATTTTATTAAATCCAAAGAAATCTTTTTCTTTGTGTGCAATATATGTATGTGACTTATTGAAAGTCAAATTGAACTTGTTGACTAATCTAATAAATTAAATGTTACAATATTATGTAGGAAGACTTTGTAATGTACAATATTCATTTTTTCTCAATTCGAGTCCTCGAATTCTCTCGAGATCACACTGAATTCACATCACTTATTCGCTCTCGCAGAGGTCGACGTGGAGAGACTCAGGCACGCACCCGTCCTAGAATTCGTCGATCTCCAGGCGAACCCGTTATCGGCCAGGATACACGATCTCCTGGGCACTCTGTCTAGGATCAGGATCGAACTGAGTCCTCGGCAGGTGGAGGGTTGGGAAGACCTGAACGTTTGAACCTGCGCGAGAGCAGCCGATCTCGCGGAAGACGGCCGAAGGACGAGACCGTCCTCGCGTCCTCTCGACGAAGATTGCTCAAGACTTCGCGGACTAGCAGTAGTATCGACATTTTTTGTACAGTGATAACGCGACGGACTGTGTGTGATAACCGGATGACCGCGCGGATCGCCAGTCGATAACGGTCCGCTTGTATTGTATTTGTAAATGCTATTAGCGATCTGTATTTTATTATTATTATTGCGGATCAGCCGTCGATCTCGCGGAGAGATCGATCGATCCTTCGTGTTTCTTTTGTACCGCGTGGATTTTTAGATTTTATCGCGACGCAAACGAGTCGTGGACGACAACGGCGATGTCTCAATACTTCGTTCAGTGAATTCAAGGATTTCCAGGTCCCAAAATTCTGCAATTTTTTAAATATTAGGAACGTGTGTGATTTCTCGTTTGCAATCATAGATTTTTAGGCTTACAGGAGATCGGAGATCTCTAAAGTTTAAAATTTCGAATTCTTAAAATATTTTTCAAGTAACGGATAAGGAAGTTTGTATCTGCGGATTCTTGAATTCTTGAAATAGCCTGTCGCCCATGAATGCATATTGTGTCGACGATATTTTTAACGTAATTGTTGTCTGTCGACGCTATGGACAATTTACCGCTACGGACTGCCGATTTAAGTACACATGCCGCTCTGCACTCTTTAATATTTAACTCTTTGCACTCAAGCATTGTTGACATGACACAGGACGCGACACAATGTAACGGGACATTTATAATTTTTACGTATATATATTTTATTTTACGTATATATATTTACGCATATATAATATACGTATATATAATTTTTACGCATAATTTGATACAAAGTGATTTGATGTTACACATTCGCAAACTATTCGCGAAATAATATAAAAATAAAGATGCGAATTTTATCTTTTCAATTGTTATACACATTTTTAATTTGGTTGTGAAGAAAATTCCAACGGTGCAACACAAATTTGTCGATTACAAATAAAGTGCAGGAACAAAGAGTGCAAAAAGTTAACATGAAAAAGAGCGACGAATGACGGAAGCACCACTAAGTAATTGCTAGCGTATGGATGCAGGGTGTCCCGCGAGATAAAAATTTACAAATTCGCCAATGCAAATTTTGCGCGTGTTTTCGCAAAAGCACCTGTATGGATGCATAAAATCATATGCATTTTGCGAAAACAACACAGCACGAATTGCGATTATATAACCTGAAATTTGTTTTAGCCTTCTGTACTTATTTCTTTTTTTTATCTAGTCAAGCGTCCTTGGATGTATGGGTCTGTAGACTTACAGATCAATTTTTACAGATTCATGGATCTTACAATTCGTGGATCCTTTTCATTTTTAGATTCGCGATTTTTTAGATTTTAGATATTTGACAAGATATTCTAGATTTCATATATTTCTAGTTTTATACATCCAAGGAATCCTTAGAAATTTCAATACAATGTGAGACACACATTGCGATATAATAGTATGAAAATGAGAGCGCATCTTTTTTCCCTTCTTACAGGATTTGGCAGGATTTAATCCTAGTCTATGAACTAAACGTCCACGTCTTAGTTGCAACGATTGTTATATTGCAATTTGTATTCTAAGTCATAATCGTACTTTCGCAACATGCCGAAATAACTCGCACATTGCTAATAAAAAAAAAGTTATTGACACTGTTAATCTGAATTCTATGCTACGACTTTTTTTATAATAAAGTTCTCTCGATATACCAGTCGTTAAAATTTCATACGATGTATCTCACGATTAAATAAGATACAATTTTCCACTTTAACGAGAAAATAGGACCTGCGAAATGCTTATGAAACAGACGAACGATTTTAGTCAGACAGAAATTTGCGACATTCTGTATTATAGAAAATAAACGATCGAAAAGTCGTCGTGTGAGCTAATTTTACTACCTCGTATGTATATCGTACGTTCGGACATATAAAACGGTTCATTAATAGAAACGTAAGTAGTACAGTTATAGAACTTTGACGAATGTAAGGTCGATGCTACCTTGATCTACTGAAATAGATGTATAAGCATACCGGGTGTATCGAAGAACATTCGAACCGTTGACACACGAAATTAAAAAATGAATCAATGAAGGACTCCACAAAATACTATTCCCAGTAAACAAAAAATCATTAACACAACGTTACGTGAATAAAGTGATATCTTGTAACACGTAACATTTCCAAATATGAAGTTCTTAATGTTGCATACAATATCATCGTCAACAATATTTGATCCAAATATGAAAAATAATATTTCTACACTATGATTTTAATATTTAAGAATATTATATTATCAAACAACAGTTAAAGACAATTATAAAATATTATGTCAAAATATTTATAAAATCCGCATAAAATTAATGTTTCAAGACTGATTTCTGAATATTTCTTGCTTACTGGGTTCTCTTTCAGAAAAATAAAAATCGCTTTAAAACTGATAGATTACATTTTATCCATTTTTGATTTTATATCTTGACCAAACTATTCCACCTCATGTTTTCATATCAATTAATACTTTCGCGCTTTTAAGATTCTCTGAACTTAGGTTTTCTCAGATAGCTTGCAATTCGACGATTAGAAAAAGTTTGATAAAATTATTTCTGTAAGTTTGCAAAGTTACACATGAAGTTCACTCACCGAACCACGCCGTCGCGTCATTGAGTTTCATCCGTGACAATTTCACGCCAATGAGATGCACAGTTCCAATTTTATCGAAACCCACTCGCGTAGTTGCAAAACGGAAAATCACGATTGATGACGATTGTGGACATGAATCAATATGATACAACGATTGTCCGATATTTTGTTCGATACCCACGATACTTATTTGTAGATAATACTTAGATATAATCGCTAAAAGACTCGACAAATATGGAACAATGATGGGATAAGAGAGTGCGATACGGCGCGGCGCGAGACTAACATGGCGGTCGCGCATGCGTTGTAGAGCCGGTTTTATCTAGTTTGATCCTATGCTTGCACTTTTTTGCACTTTCTGTATTTTATATAAAGAAAGAACTTAATTTAATTTATACACAAATAACATAAACGACAATAGATATAAAATATTTCTAGGTTCATGTAATTCATTAGAACGTTAAATGTACGAAATAAACGAATATATTCCTGTCCAAAGTATATTATATATATATATATATATATATATCTATAGTCATTATAACTATATTTAATAAATATGTTCGTTTCAATAAGTATTATTGTATTATTTTTATGTGTACGATTTATACAAAACTCAATCCAATTACTTATACAACAGAACTCAACTATTCAACTATTCTAATACCGACTATAAATGTGAGCACTTCAAATAGAAAAAGTACAAAAAGCGTAACTAAAACGAACAGGTCCAACAGCTAATATATACATTTCTTACATAATAACACAATAAAATCAAACGTTTACATACGAGGGGAAGGATATCTGGATATCGAGAGGCGCAATTATTAGTCAGATTAACGTGTCCGAAACAGCTACATTGGTTTAGTACCTATATTTTCTCAATATTAATAATAATGATAATAATAGTAATAATAATAATAAAAATAATAATCAAGTATAATGAATCGCTGAATTAGTTATCTACAATACTTGTTCGTGTATAGAAAATCACAAAATATACATAGAACAGACACAGTTAAACGTCAGGGCACACAGCGGCCCGTTATTTCATCGTCTTAACATAATTGTCGAGCATTTCACTTGCTTTCGTCGTTAACGAACCGGAAGCAGCCGCGACGAAAAGCAGGAAGAGTGTATATGTATGTATGTATGTGTGTATGTGTATGAATGTAGGTGAACTATCGATCTTGTTCATTCGTGTACTTGCATATCTCTAGCTATAGTGAAGCTACGCCTGTTGACGACCGAATATATTTATATATATATCTATATATATATCTATATATATATATAATATATACATATACATTTTGTCAATGCGCGAGAAAGTACGGTTACACGATTCCCGGATTGCGCAAAATTAGGACGAACGCGCGACAAAATTAGGCTTTCGCGTTCGCGTGGACTTCTTTCTCGGAATATCTGAGTCCAGAATTCCCGTAACGTCGCGCGAATCTCTCCGGGGGTATCTTACCTGCGATTCTGTCCGCGACGAAAGCGAGTCCTGCGCGGCTTAATATCGATTCTGGCACTCGCACGCTCAGTGGCCACTCGCTTCGTTTTCCCGCTCCCGCATTCCTGGCGATATTTACATAAGTCTATCACTAACTAGATTCACATTCAGGCAACCTCATAAACGCGGCGCGCCGGACTGTTTCGCCGAGGCAGTTCACTTCTCGTCGCACCGGATCGGCGAATGTGAAAGTACAACTCTCGGCACCGCGGCAGTTCGCGGATCTTCGAGGATTGTCCGCTCGAAAGATTTTCGGCTTGGCAAATTCTAACGTATGTGAACGCGTGAATATGTCAATTTCCTTCCCCGCGGAGTCCTCCGCGAATTTTAGCTTCCGAATTATACGATCGATTCTTAATTTCACACTTTTGATTCCCGGAGTTTCATCGGACCTCGCAATTTTGATTACAAGCATAAGTGCGAGATTTCGGATAGCGAGTACGATGAAACCCCGGCAAGGGTCAGTCTCTTGCTCTCACAGCGTGACAGTGGGCCGTTGGCGGAACAGTCTGGCTGCCATTTACGACGTCGAATCAAGTTTACAAAAGAACGAATAAAACTTCGGTGCGGCGACGCTTACAACAGTCGCGAATTAATTTACGAGTGACGAGTAGGCGGGATGCGATTATTAATACTAAGATAGTTTACTTTCTTCAACGGGGTCGTAAATGTTTCGTTCGTGCACAGCTACGCGAAGAGGACACGTTTTGAGAAGCCGCGAGTGCATCGAGCAGACAGCCTGACGACGTCTCAGTGTCGGATCCTTCGGAGATTTCGTGCTTTAATCCTTAAGCAGACGCATCGCCGCAGACGCAGAAGCGATGGAAAAACTTGTACACTTGGTTTCAACGTTCGGACAATTGTTTTCTTTCTCTACAGTTTAGGACGCAGCTCCGATGCTCTAACGGGAGAACTTGTTTTTGATTAATTCTCAGGAATTCAGTTTGGACACTTTCTTTCTCAATGAAGTTTGCATTCAGAATAAACGTGTCCATATTGAAATTAAGTGTACAGGCTTTAAGAAAAATAAGGAAGATAAGAATATCGCGCGTTGTATTCTTTTTTTTTCTATTTTCATGCGAGGTCAATTCTTCCATAAAATTCGTTATTTATTTCGGTCGTGATTAAAATGATAACCCGATGCCTACTGCTAATTGCGATTTTAACTAATAATCGCACCAATTAAACGTTTTACCTGTTCTTACTTGTGTATCTGCTCAAGGGTTAAGAGTTTCAGATGCGTACAACTGAATCTGCATATGATTGGACATAACGCTATTGTACAGACGTATGAATTAAACCCTTGCCTGAATTTCTACAAGTCTCCTGCCGTGGGTGGATACTCAGGGCCGTCGCAGTTCTTCGCACGAGAGTTACTTCAAAGTAAAAAAAAAAAAGGGATATATTTACATGTTAAAAAACATAATACACAGTCTGCGCGCGACAGTACGCAGTAATTCTAAATACAAAACCAAAACTCCTACGAGATTAATGCGACAACTATTGTTATTGGTCGGCAATCTCGAATCGCGAACTAAACGCAAGGAAAAACGCAAGAGACACAGGACCGATGGCGGCTCTTCGCGTGCAGAGTTCCTCCCTGCGATAAATAATATAGCGCAAAATGCGTATTTGCTTCGAACCTCTCCTAATTAATAACAAAAAATTAACAGCCATCGATATCAACTAATAATTTCGGAATGAGAAGCGGGAAAGGCTACATAAGGTCGCCGTAAGCCTTTCTAAAACAACGCGCAATTAGGGGAACGAGGCAAAATAGACGAGTAATTTTAAATAATATACGCCCGTCGTGTTAATAACACATTTAATGTGTTCAACGATAATCGATGGAATAATCACTATTTAATAGACCACAATCGTTAATCGATCGTAAATCAACAATTGTTAATCTTCGCGTGGGAAGAGCCACGACGCCCCGATTAATTCGGACAAGGGTCTAATATCCTTAGGGATCTAACGTGCCCGAGAATGAGCTCGATTCTACCGCTATTACGCTTATATTGATTGATCACAAAGCGGGACATTTTGTTCGCATATCATTCCTTCATTCCCGACCGAACGAACGATCGGGAATTCGGAGGGACGTGTGTTGGAGGGGTTTTGCGCGTGTGACGTTCGACGGTGAACGCGATCTCGTCGTCGGGGATGTGTTATCGCGCGTGAAACTCGACAGCTCCGCGAATCCTTTCCACGAATCTGCTCTCGTGCAGATCGTGAATCCTGGAATGCGCACGGTTCGCCGAACTTCCCGATTCCCAATGTTGCGAGTACAGGCGCAAGATCAATCGACGAGCGAATTCTCGACTTCCTTTACGTATCTCGTTCCAAACGTTCTCAGTAAACACCAACTAGCAGTAACGTAACATCAATGTTATAATTTCCCACTCAACAATGTAACCGTTACAGAACACAGGCGTTATGTTGCATTTACATTGTTGAGTGGGAAATTATAACATTGATATTATGTTACTGTTAATCGATGTTTACCGGGTCTCGAGATTTACACATCTGGAAGTCAACAGTTTGCGTATTCGCATGCGCCCGTGAACAAATCACCCAGCAAACACCAACTAACAGTAACATAACGTCAATGTTATAATTTTCCATTCAACAATGTAACCGTTACACAATACACGCGTTATATTGCATTTACATTGTTGAATGGAGAATTATAACATTGATGTTACATTACTGTTGGTTGGCGTTTGCTGGGCATCATCGAATCCTCAATCGCTCGATTTCAAGATCCACGATTTGCAAGATTCACCATCCCGGGCTGTACGACCCACTCGCGAGATCCGCGAATCTTCGGTTGCGTCCTCAAGAATTCTGGATGAGATCCTTCGGGTTGTCCGAGTGCCTTCGAGCACGCCGTTCAGATACATAGTTTTCGCTTAAGCCTGCTGCTGTCCACCGTTGACGTGTCCGGTGTCCCGTGTGAAATTTGACCAACACACGACCTCCGAGTCCGCAGTGGCGCCGAACGTCACGAGCCCACGACAATAATCTCTCTCGAGCGGTCTTGCGCCACGCGCTCTTCTCTCAACATCCTAGAAGCGGCTAAGTGTTGTACAGGTGACACTCGATGTAAGAAGTCGGCACGAAGCCTTCGATCGGTTGCGAAATGCGTCGAACTCTGGTCCAGCCGTCTCCCTGGTCCAGCTCGATCATGTATAACTCCTCCCCATCGTACATCGGTATGGAACCCTCGCTAGTCGCTGCAAGAATAGAATAATTAAAATCCCCGTCAAATATTACATGTACGGCATCATATATGTTGTACCATTCCTTAAATGAAAAGTTACTAAATTTTCAGCTTTATACATACACACATTATACACACACGCTTTATACATAACACACAAGAATGAAAATCGTAGAAGTAACTCTAGTCATAATGGCTGGTGTTCAGACAAAAGAGCTCAATGGGTATCGCTTAGTGCTTATCGTCTGTGGCTAGAGTATTCTTTTAGATCCGTTATAGATCCAAGAGAATGAATGAATCAATCAGGATCAATCATTAAGCGCTCATTGAGCTGCTTTTCCTCTTGAACACAGGCAATGGCACTATAATTAATAATATAGTTGCAGCTTGTTATTTGTAAATCTGTGTAACATTTGGCCTGTTCTTTTTAGCTGAACTGGCTGCACTGTTTCAAGAAATTTACATATACATTGAAGCGTATGAAGCGTACGTACGAGATTCTCACGCTTCAGCGTGCGTATATTTCTTGAACTAGCGCGGCCGGGTAAAGTTCAGGTAAAACGAACAGACGAACAGAAAACTAGGAAGTAATACAGCATACATGACGCCGACTGTATAAGTAGCGATAGTATGTTATAGCAAAAATAAACCAACTATTCGTTATTCTTCTTTACTTTACTAAACTATATATCCGATTGAAAGTTTTAGAGGAACGTTTCTTTCTCCTTTTCTCACTCTCTATCTCTTACCGTCGAAAGGATAAAGCGCCCGGCATGTTCCTAACGGTGGTTGCGCGTCCACCTCGTCAACGTAGTACTCCTCACCACCGCTGCCGGGTAATGACGTTCTCGATTCACCGAGGCCAGATTCCGGGCTGTTCGTGGAACTGTGCATGAGTACCATAAAACGAAAACCGTGGCTATTCGTCTAGTGGAAGTGTCTAGTCTACTCTCATTTATGCCGACCGACATTGTAAGCCGAATATTTTCTTGGAAGAGAAGTTGCACGCGACCAGATCGCGACCTGGATTCGGATCTACCGTTGATAAGGCTCCATTTGTCAAATTGTGAAATGTGTGCAAAGCTAGTAACTCATACAGTAATATCGAAAATATTATCTCTGTTACTCGTGCCTGTCATTATCGATAAGATAAGAGCCATCCAATGAGAGCCTACAAATGTCGCAATATCTCTGAATAGATTAACGAATGTAGGAGTTAAAACGCAGAATTTATGATATAATACTAGAGCAGAGTAATAACAAGGACGAAAGAATGAAGAAATTTCAACTGCGCTCGACGCGAATAATGATGACGGAATCGATTTGTAAATCGAGAGATTCGTGAAGTTTGCAGACTTGCGTGTATGAAAATAGTGTAGTGTCACACTCCACCGTGTATTACCAAGGCGACTTACCCATGTGTCGGCTGTGGTGTGCCCGGTGCGCTTTTCTTGTGAACGGGCTGGTTCGCGTTCGCGTTACTGACGCTTGAGTCCGAGGCGGACCTCGAGAGGCTCTCTTCACCGCCCGAATGACTCGACCTTCGTGAACTTAACGGTCTCGTTGCTGAGCCATTACTAGTGGGTTTTCGCGGTGCTTGACTTGGGCTAAAAGCATAACAAAGTTAGGGAAACTTATAAAATTCGAGGTTTATCGGAGAAAAGTCGTAAAAATGCGCGCGTTACTCTGTGCAAATATCAATTCTTAAATAATCTAACGTCTAAAAGTTGGCGTTAGGGCTCAGATATAATGAAAGGAATAAAGAGCAAGGAATTTAATATAAGGAATAAGGAATAAGATATTTAAAATAAGCTATAGCTTAAAACACAATAAAAGAAATAGAGAGTAAGATACATATATAAAACCGTTTTAAAACGAGATAACCATTTTTACTATTTTTTAATAAATCTCTACTGTCATTATTAACACCTTTATTATTAAAAAAAGATAAATAAAACAGGCAAATAAGAATCACAAATGCCGTATGTAAGAGCGAAAGTATAGTATATATATATATATATATAAGTTCAGAATTATTATTTACTATACAATAGTTAAATATAGAATGTTTCGGTCTCGTCCTATCTCAAGCCACCTTCAGCGAAAAAAATAAAATAAAAATAAAACCTTACAATTTTTTTTATGTCATTGATATCTTTATATCATTTTTATTATTTGTTTTGATAATTATTGAATTAAATGTTTTATTGATTGACTGAATAGAACTGATTTTCCCCTATTTATATACTGATAATCCTTAGACATTTTGAAGTATAACTATCAGTCAATTTCTAAACACTATAAGCATACAAGTAATAAATAATATAATTTTAACAACATTCCTAATCCTAATTCCTTATTCCTTTATTGTAAATTAAAGCATAGTTGCCTTTATATCGAAATTTAATTCCCTTTTCCTAATTCCCCATATTTAATTCTTTATTTTCTTTCTTTTTCATTATGTCTGAGCTCTTAGACATTTTACTTCCCCAGTTGCATCACAATCTCCTCTCACTTAGTAGAGCAGCTATTTGTATGAGCGGTGGATAACGACGCAGATTTTCAGCGGTCTGTCCAACAATGCCAAACCTTACCTAGACAAACTAACGTCAGCACGCATTGCTTCCTCGAGGTAGCCTTGAAACTTTGCCAATTCGGCTCTGAGTTTGTCCAGCTTATTGCTGGACTGGTTTAACTGTCCCTCTATGCTCATCGGGTCTCCGAGGGCGGGATTCTGCTCGTACACGCCCTTCATTTTCATCAGACCGTCTCTCGCCGCGGTCTCCTGTTGGATCTTCGCTTGGATCTCGTCCAGTCTCTGCTGCAGTCTCTTTTTCCGCTGATTTGGTGGCAGATCGCTGCAGTCCTCCTTAGCGCCGTCGCCATAACCAGGCACGTTATTCTGGAATTTGTTACAATGAGTTTCATTTCTACAACGATGTTTTAATCACACAGAATTCCTTGAGACCCAAGAAACCTCTCACGGCATGTTATCGTCGAAATAATATGATCGTCGACACTAATTCGAAATTCAATACAATGATATTTTAACTTTGATTTTTGTAACCAATTAACAGAATCACGGTGTACCCAGATATCAGCAGATTGCGATTCCAAATCCCACCTTGGTAACAATCTGCTTATTTTCAACTGGAAGTTCCGTACTTGTGATCTGGGTCTCAAGAAAATAATAGAAGGAAAGATGATGAGAAAACTCGGAAACACATTTTGTTAGAGGACTCTCGTTACAGATTTCAGAAAGTTACTAATGAAAGCTAGCGCATTGATATTAATAAACAAATTTGATATCTAGTACTGTTCCTTGTTTTAAGCAATAATGAATAAAATGTATCCTCTGCAATAAAATAATGAAAAATAAAAATAACGGAATGATTTCAGAAATGGCGATGGCGTCCAACCCTCTTGGTGCTGCAAAATCTGTAGGTGTTAAATACGCGATGAAATTCTTATTTCTTTAACATCGTGGTTCCAATAAATTCATGAACTTGGATAAACCAATTGACTTCGTTAAGTGCGGATTTTATAGATTGTAGTTTTCGCGGATTTTCATGGGTTCGTTCAATTTAATTTTCTACGGAATAATTGAATTGCTGCTTGCCGATTCCGTTTCAAGCAAACGATTGTCTCTTTTTCTCTCTGTCTCACCTATTTACTATCTCATAAAGAATAAAGAAGACAAGCAAGTCGAGCACTTGTAAGGGTTCAGCGCACCAAAAGGATTAATCGGAAAGTGACGGCGATTGTATAGAGAAGGACAGACCTTTAAAGCTATGCACACCTCGATCAACTTCTGTTGTTCGCATGAAACAAATCCCAAAAGCGTATCATTCAGCGAATGAACAGGACGGACTTTTAGCAGTAGCGTGAGCGAGAACTCAGAAATTATGACTTTGGAAATATTAATTTCAAGCAGTATGTCAAGATATTTTATATTTATATCATGCAATATAAGAAGTGTGATATATTTAGTATATATATATTTTTTTAAACATTTAGTATAATTTTGTAGAAAATAAAACAAGTTAAAATTAATTCGAGCTTTACGGATTATTCTATGGTTTCATAAATCTTACATTTTAGGTTCATGGATTTTTGAAACTCTACTATAAATCACGTTTACATTAAACTCTGGATCGAATTCAATTGAAGTAGTGATATAATTTTAAGGGAATTACATTTCGTAGCGATTATGAAAATCACCTAGCACTTTGCGAGAAAATTAGTCTTATACCGATCAGAATGTATAATGCATAATCGCTGAGTTCACGCTCTTCTAAGACAAGAGGTTTTAATATCACAGATAATTTCTCTTTAAGAGGCAGAAAAGTTGTCAGTATTATATACAACTGCTATAACTGCGAGCGGATAAGCGAATCTACAGAGTACTTACTAAATATGATAATATCCCAATTCATAGCCCGTGATGATTGGAAACAAGAACGCCAGAGGCAGATTGAACCATCCACCAAATTAATAGAAAGTACAGAAGAAAAATAAGTTACGCTTTTCGTTATGAGAAATCGAACAAAGAGAGATTGCAAATTACAGTTGAGAAACGTATTAAAATATAGAGAGATACGGACGAGCTCGATTCGTCGATTTCTGATGAGATTATAAAAAAAAAGGAGTATACCAAGCATCTTTTTATTTTTATATGCTACAGTTATAAAAATTTATATTCTCAAATTACTTTGCCAAAGCTTCGTCAAAGCTTTCGACGAATAAAGTTCTACGGTATCGTAAAGCGCTCTCAAAAGGTGTACAAGTACAAAAATCGCTTCGAGTAATAATTAAGGATGCGTAAAAATCGCAATCCAAATAATAATAAATAACAGTGCGCAAACTAAAAAGTCGCTCATAAATAATATTATTGTAGCCGCTCGAAAGAATGCGAAATCTACTATAATATACATGCGCAATAGAAATCTGTGTGCACAGTAGGTCGCAGGCCTGTCGGCGAATAAGATGCAAGTATATATAAATATATATATATATATATAAATAATAAATGAAAATAATAAAATAATACGGCGGTTTTCAAAGGATTTTCGTGCATGCTGTAATATTTTTCAATATTCCGTTTATCCGTTCCTTCTTACGAAACTCGTAAAAGCGATAAGTAAATTGCGTTAATCCTTGTACAGAGTCGGGTAAGTTCTGAGGTTGCACATTTCTTCAGAAAGAAATTAGAAAGTTTACTGAGCATACAATCGTTGCCAAAAGATCGTGATGATAATTTGATGGGATCAAACCGCTAGTCTTCATGACTCCGCAAGAATTAATATGTATAGAGTGTTCGAAAAGATATTGTTCCACTTTAGAAACTGAGATAAAAATTCTTGGAACGTAACAATCGAAGAATTTAAAACATTTAATTCTCATATCACTCATTATGTTTTTCATTATATTACACATAATTTTAAAGAAGTTACAATTCATTGTGATATGATGTCACCTTTCAGAACACCCTATCGATTGAGAATATCGCACTCATTACCATGGAAAGATTTTCATGATGATCTTCCAAAGGAACTATGGAGGAATATCTACCTTATTGCTGCTGAAGATTCCGAAGAGGCCTACCCTCTTCTTGATCTTGCCGCCGGAGACGGTTCCTTTGACTGTGAGGTGATTGTGAATCGGCTGCATGACCGGCTGCGCCAGTTGGCTGTTGCTGTCGTAGTTTTTGGCGACTGATAGATCTTCGAAGGGGAAGTCGCCAGGCGGCTGAAAACCGCTCTTGTAGCGCTCGATCACCAGCATCGTGTCCTCTTTCTCGTTAATTTCGTTCGCTGCCTTTTCGATGCCGTCAAGACACTGAGCAATTATCGGCGCCACTGCTCGCTCGATCTCCACCGACTTCATCATGTAATTTCGCATGTTCTTTATCCTCTTTTCGTCCAGTTCCTACAGCACAAACGTTATATATAGTGGTATGTAATAAAAGAACATGCGGAATTATAACCTAAGATCGAACAAATTCAAATCTAAAGGGGTAACATCTTTATAATGTCTATTGAACTTTCCGACCTTTTAGATGATGATAAATATTTTTTAACATTCCGTGCACGCCGACTGTAAAGATATCCTTTAATATCGTCGCGAAATATCACCAATATATATGACTAAATATAAAACGTTCAGTTATGACAAAATATATACTCAGTTATGACAAAACGGTACCTGAAGATGCTGGAACACTTCCGGCATCGCTGTGTGGTAATGCAACGTCTGCATGTCATTCGTTTTCTGCAGCTGATTAGCGTATTCCGTTTTAGCTTCCTCGCTCTGCTGGGTCTTTAGGGTCATATTCATTCTCTGTTTCTCGACCTGCGTGTCATGCAAAGCAATCGATTATCCTTTAATTCAACATTTCTAGTAAAAAATTTTTATTTAAAACATTCTAAAACCGTGAAATAATATATTTGAAGGTAAGAGATTTTTTTCCAGAAAGTATGTTGATTATAAAAAGAGAGAAATTTATTTAAAATTTATGTACCTCTGCCCTCGAGAGATTAAGATCCGCGTCTGCTCGTTGATAGTTCTCGACAGCGCGTTCCGCCTCGCGGAAGGCTTTCTCGTAAGCCTTCCTGGCGCGCTCCAGGTTGCCGATTTGACCGGCTAAAGTGGCCATCAGTCGTGCGCCTTCCTGCAAGTGCTTCTTACGATCCTCCTTGAAATCCTTCACCAGGATGTTCAACTCCCGCAAGACGTTAGCCTGAAGATTTTCCGCGATCACCTCTCTTTGGCCGGCCTGATCGTTTACTTCGTTCAGCTCCAGTTTGAACGCCCGACAAGGACTATATCTGGCAATCACAAGTTGCATTAGTATCAGCTAGATAACATTGGCTGATTTAATATCTCAGTAAACACCAACTAACAATAACATAATATCAGCGTTACAATTTTCCACTCAACAATGTGAATGCAATATAACGCGTATGTTATGTAACAGTTTGTTGAGTGGCAAATTATAACATTGATGTTGCGTTACTGATAGTTGGTGTTTACTGGATATAATAGACTCTTCTTCATGGCTTAATATAATCGTCGTGCGTGGAAAAAATAAAATTAGAGCTTGGTTGCGCAGAATAAGCAAATAGCGTCCACGCGAGTCAATTTCGCGGAACACGAGAAGCCGAAATCTCGGCCTACACAAATTAGTGTGACGCACGACGGAGATTGGGTCAAGAGTGCGAGGGTTTCTTGCAAAGTTATTGAACTTATAAAGTATCTCACCCACGCAATAAGATAAATGGGCCGCTTCTGTTTTCTATCAGGGTCTGCGACGCGCGTCCGTTTTCGGTCGATGAATAAGCGAATTTTGCGCGACGACCATGAGCTTCTCGTCGTGATAAAGCTCGTCTTTTTTCAGTCAGGATGCAATTACAATTGTTACGTTTCGCGCGAGACTCGACGTAAAATCGGTAGTTTATAGAAGAGGGAATTTTATTGTATTTTAGGAAATTTCTTCGTAATATTTTTCGTATACAGTATCCGGTCGAAATTTTAGTTCTACATTAAATCTATCTAGTCCGACATCAAGTTTTCAAAAATTTATTGCGTTCCTTTGATGCTACAAATGGGAAAGTTATTTCCGTTTTCTCTATTTAAAGATTTAATGTAGAATTTAAATTTCCTCCCGGAAGGTCTGAATTCTGTTTGTAGCATCAAAGGAGCATTATTAAGCGCTCTTCTGATACTACAAATGGGAAATTATTCCCGTTTTCTCCACTTGAAGACTTAATGTAGAACCAAGCAGACTTAATGTAGGGTCAAAATTTCGATTCGGGTAAAGTTATAGTTTTGAAGACTCGGAAAAAAAATTGTTTTTTCAATTTTCCGCAGATATTTTCGGTTTCTTATCTTCTTCACGAAAAAAGTAAATGTAAATGTAAACAGGTTTTAACCGAACACAGATTTTTCCGAACGTATTTTTCTTTCCTAGGGATCATGGACCGAAAAAATCCGCGAAAAAACTGGAAGAAACCGGTTTTCCGAGTCTTCAAAATTATAGGCAAAATAGAAAGAATATTTTACTGTGTTTATGAGGTAAAAAATAAATGAACACCTGCTTACATCGCTTTAATCTCGCGAGCGTCAATTATTGTAGAAAAGGATATTGCCTTTTTATTCGTCGAGGTGCAGTATCTATTTCTCTCGATCACCCAGTGGTGTAATTTATCTCAGCTGCGGGCGATTTAAATACATGTTTGTACTCTTTCATGTTTTGTACATATATGCTCACTCAACGAACTTATCTACGATCGTCGGTAATTCGATAGAGAGAAACGAGGGGATAGAGAAAGAGAGGGAGAAAGAGAAAGAGAGAGAGAGAGAGAGAGAGAGAACGTAGCTTTATACTTACTGATAATCCTCCTCTTCCTTCTTCTTCGGTTGATAGCTCTTGACGAGACGTCTGCAACAAAGAAAGGAAAGGAGATTACTGGTGCACGCGTGTCGTTCTCACGGAGGTGAAATGACACCGTGGCTTATCGCCGGCAGAGTTTATGCAATTAGTACGAACAGAAGTATTAGATAACCCGGAAATATGTGTGAATCGGCAGGAAGTGATTTTTATACCACCACCGTCGCCGACGTGCTTTGTTATTGCTGCTGCTTTTCGTGGATTTTTTGTTTCTCTCACCGAAACGGCGATCGGTTCCTCTTACGACCGTTCTCGCGGGCGCGCGTGCGAATTCATACGTATGATTTTGCATCACGAAGGGATGGCGCATCGCGGAAAGTTAAATCACGAACTCGCGCGGCCGCGATAATCGAAGCGACTATCAGATCTTCGCGACGGGGAAGAAAGAGAGTGAGGGAGCGCGGGATTATTTTCGGTTCGGCGTGGGATTAAACGCGGATCTGGGCGTGCCGTTTTCATTTTTACAGTGCGCCAGCGGACTATAAATACGCTATCGCGCGGCATCTGACGTGCTCTGCCCTTGATACGACGTGGAGCAGCGCGAGGAGAGGATCCCGCGGAAAAATCGCGCAGGCAGATGAGAAAAAGGGAACGGAACAAAGCGCGAGCGAGCGAGCGACGGTAAAAATCGCCTTGTGCAAGATCACTTACAAGGCGAAACCGTGTAACTTCGGAAGCCTGCCCCCGGACAACACGCGAATGTATCACGCTACGAGAGAGCGCTATTATCTGGACGACTGACTGTGTAGCCGAGATTCTGCGGAGTTGACTCGCGGTACCCCGGACGTTACTCGATTATCCAGTTAATCTCCCGAGGATCAGCCGCTGGGTAACCCCCCTTTCCTCCGCCCCTGTGAAATTTCTAGATATTACCCAAGTACGGACGCGATTTTCTTCCGGACACTTTACCGACGCCGCGCGCTCTATGTATTCCGGATGTTACGTGCTCACGGGTAATTTTCCGGTTAGTTGGTAGCCGGGTAATTTGTCGGGTATTATATGGAGTCGCGGATAAATTTTCCAGCGGTGTGCCCTAGAAAGAGAGTATCCTAGGAATGCTGATCGCGCGACTTTGCCTGAAAGTGAGTCCTCCGTGGTCGACGAAGATTGCGGTATTAAGATGCGAGGAACATGCGCTTATGGCAATTTGCGCGCGTATGTAACTGCGAGGCGAACGTGCGCGACGAAACGCGCGAAATCCCGGCAGGGTCGCTTCGATTAACCCCCTTCGTGCACTCTCCGAGGGTTCGAAATTCACCGGTGCCCCGCGTGCTCTCTCCCATCGCGCGTGCCGCTTTAACGATGCGCGCACCTTGCTCGAGACCTGAGATTTGCATAACTCGTCAATACTCAATAATTGTGTTGTAATAGTTTCAATAATCGTAATTTCAATATTTCTGCGAATAGTACAGTCGCAGTAATTGATAATTAGCAGCGTTGTATCTCTCATTAACCGTCGTTCCTCCGCAAATTTATTTCTCTGAGACTTTATTTTCATCGGGACGAATTCGCATGATTTTGAATTAGTTGTATAGAAAAGAAATAATTTTAAATCAACGATAGATATTTTTATATGTAAGCAAAAACATTATGTATGAGCAAAAATATTTTTAGTTTTGTATCGAGTGCAAGTAATATTTGCATCGATACAAATTTAATCAAATCAAGACTGAAGATCTACTAAGAAGATTATAATATTTTTGTTTATACACGAGAATATCTATTCTTGATTTAAGATTAATTTTTTTCTGTGTGCACCTTCGCAAATTTTTCGCCGAGCCGTAGGCCAAAACAAGCGGCGCGTTAATTATGACTGATATCGCGTGCAGGTGCCGGCGTCGTTTTCGCGCGACGTACGGCGCACAACACATCGAAGTGCGCGACGAAGTAATTAAGCGTAATGCAAAACGTAGTAATTAAGCGCGGGAGTGGATGGATTTCGAGACACCCGATAGAACAAAAGTGCGCCACAGTGGACGGCATTCACGGAGCAGACAAGGGACCCCTTTAACACAATATTACTAGCTACATATCCAGCGTCCCTGAACTCACGGGGTGCGTGAGACACGCTCGTTATACAGGATGTCCCATTGAAATCGTTCGCCTCGGATGCCTCACCCTTTGTCCGGGCACCTCGGCAAAAAGAAGCAGTACGAGCACGAGACCCGCACGACAGGGTGCAAGGTGTAAGGTGCACGAGAGCATTGACGGACCCTGCAGCACCTGCTTATGCCGGCAAGTTTCGTCGCTTTATATCATTTTCTCTAAATAGCAAACAGAGAGGCACATTTCAGGGAGATTTCATGTTTACAATTGTTGCGAAACATTTATTTTTAAAGAAAAGGAAAAAATCATAAATTAAAAATAGAATAAGAGCAATAAATTCTACTGATGATGGACTGTGAAAATATCGAGGTGTCGGTTGCGTCTCGAAATCCTTTCCTCCCTTTTATATTCTCCAATCTTTGTTTTTATGAGCATGCATTTCTCACCTGAGTTTCGCCGCATATTCCACCTCGATAGCGCAGCGGTCGCGTACGAAGTGGCCATATCTCTCGAGGAACTCTATCCCTTTCTGCGTGTGCAGGGACAGATTTTCAAACTGGTCCTGGAAGCACAGGCAAAAGAAATCATAGAGCCTTATGTTTGATTTTCTTACTTATAAAAGTATGTATCTTCATGTATCTTCATTACTTATAAAATATCAGAGATCTCAGAATCTCAGAACAGTCGAGAATGAATCAGAACGTAACGCAAGATAACGCCGGTCAGCAACAAATCATTTCGCGTTACATTCTTGTTCAGGATGGTTGAAGAAGAGCGAAAGAGAAATTTAGTTCAAACGTAGAGTCAAGTGAAAAGAGATCGTAAGGAGACTTGTTTCTAAGGACGACATTTTTATGTCTCAGGATATTATTTTTAAGCTGCACGCGCTCCCTGAATTGCAGATTTCGTCCCGTCAAGAGAGTGAAGATTTTTCTCCGTCGAACGAACAATCCGACCGTATCTATCGCGGTCGACGACTGAGAAAAACCTCTTGGCACACATACGCCCCTCGTTTCCTCCTCCTCCTCCTCCACTTCCCCTTCCTACACCTCCATCACCACCACAGGACAATGAGGAATTTCGCAAGCGACGCGCGCGGAAAGATTTCCGAACACCGTTTAGCGGCTCGGCACGAAAAGTGAAACTGGACACACTATCGTTTAGTTACCCCGAGCAGGAGAGAACGTGAACAACGTTAATATACACATTAGCGACTCGTAATTTATAACTGCGGTGATATATTATCATCCGGAAAATAAACGAGTCAAATCCCTTCGCAGGGACAGCAATTTCTCACATTTAGTCATGTAAATTCGCAACATAGTTTCCTCATCGTTAATTGTTCATATTTATGTATTTTTCTTGACGATTCGACTATGAAAGAGAAAGAAAAAATCGCGAAAAATTATATGAGTAACAATTGCAAAAATAATATATAAAAAAAAAATAATTCTTCAAAGTGATAAAATTGCACTTATTGTCCATTTATCTTAATGTTGCGTTAATTTTTCAGGACGAAGATCATACATGTATTATACTTCGATAATATAATATAACAATGGTCATTACTCCTCTCTTCGTCATAAAAAATGCGAATTTTGTAGTTCTCGGCTACTGGAAAATTGGAAAATCGTAGGAACATATCGCAAGCGACATCTTCGAACCCAGCGATCGAGTCTCTCTCTACTCAAGACGGAATACGAGTTTTATCGTTCAAGGACGAACGTATCTTTCAACATTTACGCCATGGCGCTTGCTTAAGGATAAATCGGGCCGCGTTGCAGGTCATGGCAGAAAGAGACGAAAGATCGGCCCGTACGTATGGCTGGCATTCGAAACGCGTTACTTTCATTTCCAACGAGCGGCCATTCAAGGGCCAGGCGCGTCTTTTTACAGCCTATGTGCGTGCGTCGCGAGTGCGTCCTTCTTCGTCTCCTTTCGCGATGTCTCACCTTGCCATCTTATGGAGCAAAAAAGTTACGAGATCTCGACCGGGACCCCTGAGTCACGTGTGCGCGATTTGCGGCTCGGCCAGCCGAACGGCGCAGAACGGAAGGAGGAAGTCGCGCAAGATTTTCCTCCACTCAGCCGTGGATGAATTTTAATAAATAAGTGCGACAAAAAATTGATGTCTCTCTCCCTCCCTGTAAGTCTGTGAGATACCTACTAATCTTTCGTATCTATCGCGGTTTCGCCTAGTTAAAGCTTCGATCGACATGATCGATTAAATTAATAATTCCTGAGCATTGCTACTGCATTTTCTTTTTTAAATCCAGAGATCTTAAGTAGGAGTACTCGTTATTTTTTCATTCAAGTCATGAATACCATGGATTTCGTAGTCTACGAAATCTACTAATAAATCTAATAATAAATCTATTAATAAATATACTAATAAACCTACAAATTCGTAATCTTCGTAGTCCTTGAATCAATAAAGACTCATTGAAATATATGCAGCATTAGCTTTACAAATTCTCAGATTCGTAGAATCTACAGGTTCTCCAATTAGTGAACTCTGAATTCTCAGCTCGTAACGTCGATACCGTCTCTCTTCGTCGATCTATTGCCATCCTTTTAGATTTATTACGCAAGAGAACGACGATATTCGTAATATTATTTATCGTTTTTGTTATGAGTAGCATTGAGAAAGTAAGAGATAGAAACGAGAAGAAAAAAAATATAAAGTATGATTTTCCATGGGCCGTCGCGGCGGGTCATGGGTTAAGTCGTAAATTTGCTCTTCGTGATCTACGTAATGATTTTATTTCGCCCGTTCAGGTTTATAGCTTTACGCGGCGAATTCGAGTCGCACTTAGGTCGCGATCACGACGAAATCACTCGTGCGTCTCTTTACGTCGGATCGGAACAACTTTCTCATTGTGATCACTGTATAACTCGAAATGTGGCTTGAGCAATTTGCAATAAAATAACGGAGAACTGGTAGCGCAGGTGATAGTCGAACCGCAGCTTTCGTGCACACGCGACGTGGAACGGTGACGGGCAATAGGCGATCGGTTCTTTTCTCTCCGCAAGTCGCTCGGTATCTCGGCGCGGATTATTAAACTCGATTTTTCCTTCATGCTGGATATCGCGAAATGCTGATAACGCCGCGAACCGCGATACGGTTATTCTCATATCGTAGAATGGGAAATGCTGATAATAACGAACTGTTCAGCGAATTCCTGTGTATTCTCGTAGGAAACTCCGATAATTATCTAAAATAATCTGAACATCATCCAAATATTCATTCGCACGGATAGAAATCGGTTATGCGTGTTAATAATACAGAAATGTATGCCCGAAAAATCCACCGAAATTACATTTCCGACAAAAAATCCATCAAAAGTGTTTGAATTATTTTTAATAAATTGAGACACATCGAGCCCATCACGCGAGATTTATGTCAAGTCTTCACCCCAGTAGGGTAAGAGTATTGATGCCTCCATAACATCGAAGTAATGACAACGTATCTAATTTCCACCGTCGTTTTCATGCTGATTTGATTACCGGGTAATTCGATAGAAACGAATTAAATTATACCCTATTATGACGAATCGATAACTGTCGGGGTGACAACGTGAATCCGAGGCTAGCGAGCTTCCGCCGACCAATCCTGCGTTTCCCTGCCGCCGCAGGTCGATACATGGAAAACGCACCGGCGAGTATGACTCACCACTCTCGGTGCGACTTTATCCAAAAAGGTATTCTCGCAGAAGGACGGCCATACTCGAGCGGACAATTCGTCCAACAAATAAAATCCGTCCAACATAATATCCGAGAGATACCAGATTCTCCGACGCGTCCTTTATTCACTTGTATCTTGTCTCGTTCGGATATAGATATCGTAAAATGCAAGTGCGTAACAATCAGAGTATCCTGAAATTCAAGAAACCAATAATCTGGGGGTAAAATTCTGAGATCGTAAAAATTCCAATACGACATCGTAGCACTCCCGATATCGTAAAAATTTCACCTTCTTCGGGAAATACTGCCTTCGCTTATGCATCCTTTTCTCTCGGATTCGTACGGTACACAATTGATTAGAAAAGAAAGTATTTTTCGAAAATTCTATATAAGAAACTCGAGAATGTGAGCTTAATAATTCTAAAGTGCACTTCGAGAAGATCACCCTCTTGAGGAAATGCCTTCTTTTACTTTTCGTTCACTTTTCCGGGATTCTGGCACGGCTCACGTCTGCAGTAGTAACGGGGTATAGAAAGGGAGAAAAAGAAAGAGCAGACACGGGGGAGGAAGGAGCAGGTTTATGGAGACGATCGATAAGAACAGCGTGCTCTGGAGCAAAAGTGGCTAAAAAAGGTACATTGTAAAAATGGTTTTGAACCTAAGAGTCACGAATAGAGCCTACTATGGGTTCGAACAAGTGTGTATTATGAGTCACGGAATAGCGTCGGGGGTGGCTTCCACCCTCTCCACCCTATTGATCCCACATTTCTGTATACTCATGCAACTCGAGTGGGACGGACGAGAAAATAAAGGGCGAACGGAATAGTTTCGATGAAAGTTAGAGAGAGAAAGAGAGAGAGAGAGAGGTGAAAAAAGGGGACAAAGGAGGGTGAAAAAAGGGAATATCGCGGAAGGAAGATCTGGGGAGAATGCTTGTCTAAAACTATTAGAACCGTCTATTATAAGAGAATCATCTGTTGCAACTTTCTCGGTTTCTTAAATTATACATTTTTCAAACATCTATATTTAATCGTCCTCTTCTGTTTATATCCCGTTTCACTTTTACGTTTATTATAATATTTCGAAACAGAGGACAATTTGCTTTTTCGGAAGCCTTATAAAAAAACTCAATACTTACACGAAACGAAGGTCCTCGTTTTTTTCCGATAAAGAGCCCTGCTAAACATTCGACAAACTGCTGAAAAATTTAACGAATATTGTGACCTAATTTTGCGCGATTTTACGATGTACAAAAGAGACCAGGTCGTGTCATAAATTACGAATAACGGTGAAATAACGGCGAATGCGAAAGTGGAGAAAAAATCTCGGATGAGAAGAGCTCCATGCGCGCACGCGCAAGAATTTTTATATTTGCCCGAAGAGAAAAACGTTGGAAGAACGGAGGGGAAAAATACAGAAAGGTCACATCGACGTCGATCGCCATTATCGCGCTTCGCTGTGCGTTCGGAATCGCACAGAATGCATTTACGGGCTTCACCTCGGCAAACAGCACAATGCGTTCGGTGTTCGCGATAGAATACGTATAATCGTAGATTATGCGTTCCGAGTCTTCACGATGGTCGGCACGTGACAAGAGTCGCTATTGGGAACACGTGGAGACTGAAGTAGGTAATCGGAATTCCGTCATGCGGTCGGAAACAAAGACTCGAACAGCATCGAGCGTAAATGAAACTAATATCTTTTAGAATTCTATGTTTTTTTCTGGACTAATGAGGATATGTCGATGCGAGTAACTCGCGACGTAAAATAGCGCTGTAACGTGTATTGGCTGCGAAGTTTGAATGCAGTTTCTCCGATCCTTCTCTTATATATATATAGGAGGAATCTCCAAGGGCACAGATCTCTTAGAGAGTCCAA